GCTTACTGAGGTATAAAGAGAGGTTTACTGAGGTATCCTTTTACCTTCACTTAAGGAATGAAAGTAATGTGGATGTGGACTCATAGAACTATAAAATCATAGAATTATAGAATGTTTTGGGTTGGAAAAGACCTCAAAGATCATCTAGTTCCAACCCTGCTGCCATGGGCAGGGATGCCATTCGCTAGACCAGGTTACTCAGGGCCCCATCCAACCTGACCTTGAACACTTTCAAGGATGGGACATCCATAACTTCTCTGGGCAACCTGTTCCAGTGCCTCACCACCCTCTGAGTAAAAGATTTCTTCCCAACAGCTAATCTAAATCTACTCTTTCAGTGTAAATTCATTGCCTCTCATCCTGTCACTATCTGCCCATATAAAAAGTTCCTCTCACACTTTTTTAAAAGCCCCCTTTAGGTACTGGAAGGTTGTTGTAAGGTCTCCCTTGAGCCTTCTCTTCTCCAGGCTGAACAACTCCATCTGTCTCAGCCTGTCAAATATGTATTCGGGTTTTAATTTTACCACTATTATGAGGCATCATCTTAGAGGTCATATAGTAGCCAATTAATATGGGTCCAATATTGGAGAGGTGATGTAGGGGCATAAAATAAGGAGAGGTGATGCAGAATTTGCAGAACAGAGCAAAATCCAAGCTCATGGTCTGGTTTGGTTTGCTCTCTTGCAATATCCCATTCCTCTTTCAGAGTACACTGCCTTGTCCTTCAAACCTTGCCTCATTTAATTTGTGGGTACCACAGCTACCACAAACCCATCATTTTGGAATCCACAACCGCAAGATTGAAGCTTTGATGCCCATGAATAAATCATATGCCACAAGAGGCATAAAACTGAAGTAGCCGGTAGGATTGTTTTCTCACTGGCTTCTGAGTCAGTTGCTGGCTTCTAATTCAGTTAAAGCTTCAAAGATTCTGACTTATGTAAGTTGCGAAGTCAGTAGTGACATCAGCAAACCAAACAGTGAATTAAGGTGCTGCTAACAGAATGGAGGATGGTGCCAAAATCTGTCTGTTGGTAGCACACATGGACTCGGAGGCCAAGACACTGTGTTACACCATTAACGCCCTCACCTTCCACCAGGGACCAGCCTGTGATCATAAAATATCTAAGAAACATTACAACTTGACATAAGGCTTAAAATAATTCTACTGGCATTACTCCGCAGCAGAGGAGCACTTTTTGCTGATCCTCTGGAAATCATTCTTAGTGGATTTGAACAAAGATGGATTTTCATTGCTGCAGATTCACAGTGCCACACGATAGCTATGGCACTGCTTTCCATCTCCTTCCTCTCCCCACGCCAGAGAAGCAAGGGAAGATTCAGACCTTTGCTAACAGAGGATCATCCAAGGAAAGGTCTTTGCCTAGCAAATCCTGCTGGCTCATGACTGGTGACTGCCTGCAGGAATTCTAAGGCTGCACGGTGGTGGTTTGCTAAGCTAGCATCGAGGTTCACTCACAGGAATGATAAACAACTGGCTGCTGTGTGAACGTCATTTTTGGGAGAGGCACCTGAAGAGGTTGGAAACAGGCATTAGAAATAGGCCTAGAAATAGCCACTAGAAATAGGCACTCAAGGCAAAACAATAGCATCAAGTAGGTAACAGTTAAACCTTTCTATACTATTTGATTAGGTTCTTCAAACCAAAAGCAGAGGTCCTGCTTCAAACAAAGGAGCCAGCCTGGTTTTGATCAGCAAGTCATTAGCTATGTTGGTTAAATGCTTCAGGCCAGGTAATTGTACAAAAATGCAAATTGAGTTGTTGCCACAAAAGACTGTAAACTTTAGCAAATGTGATCTATAGTCTTAAGCCTTTTCCAGGCACGGAGCTCTGAGAGAGGGGGACAAGAGAATATGAGAAACAGGACAACTACAAAAATAGAGAAAGCCTCAGGACAAAAATTGGGAAACTGGTGGTTTGCCATTGAGCCACTGATTTGCAATAAGTGGCTCTTTTTGGTTTTGTTTTGGGTTTCTGTTTTGCTTTGTTTCTTTGTGTGTGTGTGTGTATGGTTTGTATTGGTCTTTTTTGTTTGTTTAGTGAAAGTCTGACAACTATATTAACTTTCTTTTGTTGAAATCCATTTGTACTAGTCTCATAATCATTCCTATATAACAGAACAAAGTTCTACCCTGCACACCTCTTCTTCAGAGTGTGTTATAGAAGGAAAAATTCATTGTCTCATGAAGGAATTGATCTCACCATAGTTTACTGTGTGCAAGCTTCAAATCTTCTGGTTTTTTCCTTCCTTGTAAATCTATCCAGGCCCAAGCATAGCTACCATCAGTAGTGCAGCCATAGAAAAAAAAGAAACATAAAGCAGAAAGCATGATCAACAGATCATTTATGTTGTTCTACACAAGGCAGGACTTGAAACTTGACAAGTTTGGTAAATCTTTGGGCACAAATTAATGAATAAGCCCTGCCAGAGGTCAGAAGGTGATTTGCCTCTTGTGTCAGGTGGGGCCTTATGATGTATTCCTTCCTGTAAAATACATACAAGATCTTGTCATAAGCACAAACCTCAGTGGTCAGTTCTCAAAGCACATCTGGGAAGAAAGGAGGCAGAGATCAGCTGAGAAATTTGCACCAATTTCACAGTGCTTGTGTCACACAGAATCATGGGTCAAACTGAGGTTGGAAAGGACCTCTGGAGCCCACCAACTCCAACCCCCCTTTCTCAAAGCATTGTCAGGGCTGTGTCCAGTTTGGAGTGGAATATCTCCATGGATGGAGATTTCACAGTCTGCCTGAATGCCTCTTCCGGTGTTTGGGCACCCTCATAATGAAAATTATTCTACTTATGTTTGAATGAAATTTCCTGTAGTTCAACTTGTGCCCATTACCCCTTGTCCTGTTAGTGGGTACCACTGAGAAGACCCTGGCTTCACCTGCTTTACCCTTCCCCATCAGATACTTATATGGATCAATAAGACGCCTCTGAGCTTCTTCTCATGCAGACTGAACAGTTCCAGTTCTCTCAGACACTTCTTGTATCAAAGATGTTTCAAGCCCTTAATCATCTTCACAGACCTTTTCTGGATCTACTTCAGTATGTCCAAGCCTGCCTTGCACCAGTGAGCCTAGAACTGGACCCAAGATTCCAGCTATGTCTCACCCCAGAGCAGAGGGGAAGCATCACATTTCTTGACTGCCTAATGCAGCCCAGGGTGCTGTCTATCACCTTTGCTGCAAGAGCATGCTGCTACCTCATGGGGAACTTGTGACACTCTGGGATACCCAAGACCTTTCTTGCAAAGTTGCTCTCCAGCCTCTCAGTCCCAGTCACCTCTGCAGATCCAGACTGGGAGAGCTGCACCCTCCTTCAGGAACTGGGACTGATACCAAGCTCCTCAAGATTTGAGCCCCTCAAGATTTGAATAGAGGTTTAAGTCAAACTTTGCAATTTTTTTGTTTATTTTGTTAGTAGCTGTAGCTGGACAGTTATGATTAAGCAATCGCATTTGAGCATCATATGCTTAGCTAATCTTTTGTTTTAAGGACATGAGAAGATAATGCTAAGATGAATGGGCTGTCTGGACAAGAGCCACCAGGAGTGAAGTCAGCAGAACTGAGCAGTAACTGGGGGAAAGGTAAAATCTGGCAGTAGGCAGTCACAACCACCGACTCATTGAGCATCTACTTAAAACAGACCCCAGACTCAAAAGGAAAGAAGAACTGCTACTGTGGACTAATTACCATGAGAAGTGAGAGATATAATTAGCAAATAAGGGGTCGAGTCCGAATTAATCAAAAAGATATGTAATTTTTAACCAATGAATGTTTCTGCTTTAGTTTGTAAAATGTATAAATAGTAGTGTAATTACTTTGTTAAACTGTACAAATAGTGTAAAGTTTTGATGGTTGCTGGGTAACCCTTTTGTGGGTTATCACCCAGCTCCCTACTTTGCACAAACTAGGATAAAACACAGAAATACCTCACCTCAGTGTATGGATTGGTGCTGTGCACAGGGTAACAAGCCTGCATTTGGACTGCATCTTGTGCAGTGCTGGGGAAGCTATTCCATGTTGTGCTGGGGTTTGTGCCCTGCAGCACATCACCACCACCACTCTGTTTTGTGCATGGCATCCTCAGCAGAGTTTCCAGGGAATCCAGATGCCTTCTTCTGATGTCTGTGTTGGGCTTACAGGGCAAGTAGCAGGAGGGCTACAGGTGTGGCTTCTGTGAGAAGACACCGGGAGCTGCCCTCATGTTGGGCAGCGTCAGCCGTCTCTAAGACGGACCTGCTGCTGGCCAAGGCCGAGCACCGGTGATAACATGTTTAAGAACGAGAAAGAACTTATTGCACAACAGCAACTGCAGTTGGAGAGAGGACTGAGAACCTTTGAGAGGAATAGCCCTGCAGACACCAAGGTTGGTGAAGAAGATGGAGAAGATGGAGATGGAGAAAAGTGTTCCAGGTGCCAGAGCAGAGATTCCCCTGAAGCCCTTGGTGATGACCATGGTAAGAAAGGCTAATTCCCTTCAGCAAACGGAGGTCCACAGTGGAGCAAATATCCACCTGCAGCCCGTGGAGGACCCCACACCGGAGTAGGTGGATGTGCCCTGGTGGAAGCTACAGCCCCTGCAGAGAGAAGCCCACACCAGAGCAGGTTTGCTGGCAGGACTTGTGACCACGTAGAGGACCCACACTGGAGCAGCCTGTTCCTAAAGGACTGCACCCCGTGGAAGGGACCCGCGCTGGGGCACGGTTAGAGTGCGAGGAGGAATGAGCAGCGCAGAAGAGGCGCTATGGACCGGCCGCAGCCGCCACTCCCCACTCCCTGGCAGTCCGGCGTGATGCTGAGCCTGGGAAGAATAGCGGCATGAGTGCGCTTTTGCTTTATTTCTGACTTTCCCACCGTGTTATTTAGTTGCATTCAATCGAGCAAAACCTCCCGAAGCCGGACCGGTGCTAGCGGCTCCTCCCCCAGTGCCCGTCAGGGCCGGCGGGCGGGACCTCCGGGGGAGGCGGTGCCGCGGCGGGGAGCGAGAGTGCGAGCGAGCCGGGGTGGGAGAGAGAGGGCGGCCCAAGGTCGGCGCAGCCCTGCCCGCGGCTCCGCTGTGCCCGCAGATGGAGTACGACTGGCTGGGCTTCGGCTACGCGGCGCTGGTGGCGGCGGGCGGTGTCGTCGGCTACGCCAAGGCAGGTGGGTGCCGGGCCTGGTGCCGGGCCCGGTGCTGGGGCCGTCCCGCGGCCGCCGGGGCTGCGGGAGCGCTCAGCCGTGCAGGTCCCGGCCCGGCTGCCGGCACTGACCCCGCAAACCCCGCTGAAGTCCTTGCTACCACCGAAACAAGGTGCTCGCCGAGGCCTGCAGAGAATCTTTAAAGAAAACCCCACCCCGCTCCCGTGTCTGCTGTTTAGGCTGGTTTTGTGGGTTTACAAATAACGGGAACCCGCGGGTGCCTTTCTTGGGTGTGCGGAGTGGCTTTGCGCGTGTTCTTTCACTGACTGCTCTGTATTTATTTTTATTCAAGGCAGCGTCCCTTCGCTAGCTGCTGGTCTTCTGTTTGGCGGCTTAGCGGGACTAGGCGCTTACCAGCAGTCCAAAGACCCAAAAAATGTGTGGCTTTCTCTCGGTAAGTTTGCTCGGCCGAGTACTGAGAGTTACTGGTTGCGGTGGGAATAGTAATCTTTTTTTTTTTTTTTTTTCTGGCGTGTTTCAGCTGACCCGTGCCCATTATTTATCTGTACAATTGTAAGTGGTGGCAGGACTGGACCTCCTGGCTCTATTTGTGTACGAGCACAGTACCTGGTTGTAAACCCTGGGTTGTCCTGCTTGAAGCCAGAGTTGGTGAGAAATACCTATCTCCGCTGCCAGATTAGATACTGTGTTAACTAATGTAGGCGCAGGAAAATGTTCGGTTGTGAAGCAGCATTTTTAGCCTGTGGTCATGGAATAAGCACTGTTTTTGCAATAGTGACAGCACTGTGTCAAGTGGTATGTGGCCTTATGGAATCTTGTTTGCGCAAGCATGTCAGAAGACCAGTATATATTTCAATGCATCGTACACTGTGGAGGAAACAGTGCATGTAAAAGAAAAGTATGTAAAAGAAAGGAGGCACTGGTCTATTCTGCTTGCTTACAGTAGAATGTACAAGAAGCTGTGGGCATATCTTGTAGTTAACTCTTCAGGTGAAGGATGAAATGACTGTGCAAAGTGTTACGGAGCACTGAAACAGAATAGGTGAACCTCAGGGACTTCCACTGCTGCAGGATTGTAATACCTTGTTAAACCACTATTGGGAATTGATCTTGCCTTTGGGCACTAGGGTATCCTAGATAACCTCTTGAGGTGTCCTCCAGTTCTGTAACTATTCCATAGTGTTAGCAGTGTTATGATACTACAGCTTTACAGTGATTTAAGGCTGTTTTAGCCCAATAAGACTAATGTGCTGAAAGGCTCTATGAAGCCACTGGTAGATACTGCAGATGACCAAACTCCATCAGTAAGGAATGAAATGTAAAATTCAGGTCAATATGAAGAAAAATTTCCATTTGTTAACTGTCTCTGGCATGACACAGGAGTGGCTGTGCATCTCTGGCACAAGTTTTTAGTTAGTGTCATGGAAGAAGGACGAGCAGCTTGTGTATATTCTGATGTGGTGCATGTAGTGCCTTCAAAAGGAGCTGTTGAAAGCGGTGGTGTGTCATGATCTAGTACAACTTTCATTCTTCCTCAACCCTGCTTACGATGTGCAGCTGTGGCTCCTGCAGAGCTTTAGGTTGGTCACAGTACGTCATGGGTAGAAATCTAGAAATAAAACCTTGACAGAGTGTCTCTAGAATACCTTTTGCCCTGTCTGATGCAAACAAACTTAAGGCTTTGGAGAAAGGTATACAGCACCTCCACCTGCCTTTGTTCTTCAAAGAAACAATGTCCCAGTAAATTTCATGTGCATGTTGATGGGATTCCTTTTCCAGATTTAGAGATTAAATATTTTAGAGTAATGTTTAAGAGTGTAATCTCTCTTTCAGTTTGTTTCTTTAGATTTCTCTCTAATTTGTATTTTCAAGTGGGGTTGTTTTCTTTCCAGTTGTAATATTTGTTGCCACCTTCTAGTTCAGAATGTCACAGAGAAATGGGGACTGTAATAATATTATAATAATAATATTTACCTCCCACATAGTGAACTCAGTCACCGTCCCAGCTTTCTAGCAGTTTTGAGCTTGCCTGTGTTCGAGGAAATAATCGTTCTGTGTATAAGGAATAATTTAGGGAGAGTCAGTGATCTCTCCAGAGGACTGAAAGTTGTGAGCAATCAGACAGTGGTCTTGATCCTGACAAGACCTCGTTGCTTCTCCTGAGCAGTGGAGCACGCTTACCAGAGTTGCTGAGACGTTTGTGACAGCAGCTTTACTGTTTAAGAAAATTGTTTGCTTGCACACAGAGGGAGGCATTCCTATCTGTACACATAGGTCTGTGGCACTGCTCAGTGTCCAAGCATGGCAGTGTTGTGCTGGTACTTCTGTGCCAAATGGCTCTGACTGGGCTTCTTTTCAACAGTGGCATCCGGAACCTTGTCTACTGTTATGGGAATGAGATTTTACAACACCAAAAAAGCAATGCCTGGGATAATTGCTGGTGCCAGGTAATCACCTCTCTTTTGCTCTTGTCTGTATTATCAAATGTGCATTTTATTTAACTTACCTGTGGATTATATTTGTTTTAAAAATGTTACATGGTGAGTTCTGTGAAAAAACGAAATCTTCTGGTGGAGTTCAGCTAAATGAAATCGTGTCAGTATTTTCTTTCTTCTTGTTCTTTATGGGATTTTTGCCTTCCTTCTCTTCTTTTTATAACAACTATTCTGTTCAACAGTTTACTGATGGTTGGACGGCTTGGATTGCAGATGATGGAAAAGCCTCTTAAGCCATAAATCTGCATCAAATCACTTGAAGATATGTGATTGAGAAGCCTGAAGCTGCAACTGCTTAAATGTGCTGCACAAAAGTGGAAAAGACACTGCTACCCGTGCATTGTATTTTTCATATCCTAACACACATGGGTTGTGTTTTTAAAGGACTGACATAGAGAGCCCTTGTTATGTCTTCCCAAATGGTATTTGTCTTAACATTTTCTGCACTGTGAAGCAAGAAAATATGACTATAGCATTAGTTTAGCTTCTGGTCCTGCAGCTTACTGTAGGCAAAGACCTCTTTGGCCCTTGTATGAAGACAGTTGCGGGATTGAAGCTTAAATGTACATCTTGGTTTGTCCTTCTAAAATCACGTATGCCTCTAAAACAAAGGGAGAGGTGTTGCCAGGCTATCACTAGTAATTAATGTAATAAACTTGCTAATTACATTACATCTCCCTTTCCTTGCCAGTTTATCTGGTCACAGTGTTTGTCAGTCAGGGACTTTGTTCTCCCAGCACTGTGTGTCCAAAGGTGGTCCCACAAAACATAATCACGGAACAGGCTGTTGAGGTTCTACTGTAATGCAATGAATGCAGACCTGTTCCTTGCAATTACTTGTAAGCAGAAGTGCCCAGTTATATGTAATTCATTTCATTTTTACAGATTGTTATTAGTAAATAAAAAATATGCTGTATTAGGCAATGCTGAATTGCAGGCGTAGCTTTACTAAAATGTTATTTTAAATAAACTAACAAATTATTATTACAAACCTTTGTGTTCTACAAAACTTTTTTTTTTTGTCTTTAGTCATTCATCTGGATTGATAGTTTGGTCTCTTTCCTGCAGGGTGTCTGGATATATTTGCAAACATGAATTGTATATATAATTTCTATTCTATTCCCTATATCTAGTAATTTGTAAATACAAAAATCTGAACTGGGGGGAGGTGTAGAGAACAAAAGCATAGAGATCAAGTATTCAGACAAGTATTGTATTAAAGTTTGTTTGGGTTTGTTTCCTGAGGGAATCATCTATCTTAGATTTGGAAAATGCTGTATGAAAGTTTCTTTGAAGACTGAAGGGTTCATTTGATCAGTCTTTGCCCTCAGTTGATTCCCGTGATGCCTGAAATTGTTCCAAATATAAACCTGCTGTAGAGGAATAATCCTGGAAGCTACACATGGTTGGTAATGTATCCCTTTTCTGGTTTCATTTAACTTCTGTCCCTTTCTGTACAGATCCTGAGCTTTATTACCTCAACCTTTCTTTGGTGCCTGGTACTGAGAGAGATGGAAGCAGCAGGGATGATCCATTAGATGGTGAGAACCTGGAGTTGCTTAGAATTCTCTAAAGTATCAGGCTAGTAATTTTGCAGGAGGGTCACAGGTTGCAGGTTTACCTTCCCTCCTTCCTTGCTGCAGCAGTACGGGCAGGTCAGTGACCTTGTGCTGCCTGAGCAGGAGGTGCAGAGCTGGGCCAGTGGCCATAGCCAGGCTCTGCCAGCAGTGCAGTGGTCTGCCAGGCAACTCACAATGATGAGGCAAGGCCAAGGTCAAGCCAGGATGCCAGGTCGATCAGATTGGGTTCCAGATCCTCAGAGACATGGCCAGGAATGGGGCACAGCTCCAGCAAGGGTATCAGTAGCCTTTTCCCAGGCCAAACAGCTTGGGTCAGAGCTGGCTTGAGCACAGGCAGTGAGATCTTGAGGGGGAACTGTACTCAGAGCATCTTAAAACCCTTATTCATCATCCTGCAGAGTTCAGCTTCAGGTGTTCACCTGTATTTACATTTCCCTCTGGCCTCCCTGCATAGAAACAAGGGGTGTGCTGGACAGAAGATGTATCTTTGTGTCTTTGTGTCTTTGCTCTAATTTGAAAAAGTTAGTAAGCCAGGCATTAGCATTTAAGACACTTCTCTTTAAACTACTTTATAGGTTTTTTGCCTCTTCTTATTGCTATTGAATCAATTTTCTTCTGTAGAGGTAAGATGCAAACATAAATGCATCTCCTGCAATAAACTGAGAACACCCATGATCCTGCAGTTTTCTAATTGTATAATGTTGGTCTCAAATCAGGTAACTTGCAAATTTGAACTGCAGTTGTCTCTGATGGAATGAAGAAAATATAAAGCAGGGAATTGGACTTGATAAGCTTTTAACTCTTAGACCAAAGTGTTAAGCTGCTGTTCATGAGCTTTGGAAAGCAGTAGCTTGAATTGAGAACTGCTGGTAGAATTCATTACCACTTTTCATGTTTAGGAGAAACAGCAGTAATATAGACAAAGGGACAAGAGAAAAGCTTTAGTCTTACATACTCTTTACCCTCTTGAAACTTTTTCAGCATACTAAATTTTTAAAGCATTAGATGGCATTTGTGCACTAACCATCCAATGTGTATCAATGAATTAGAATTAAAATGGCTGTACAAAACTCATTAGTCTTTTCTTGCTGTTTGCAAGAAGAATTTCTTAACACTGGTCATGCTTTAACCATGAACAAGTAAGGGCTGTTTTAGTTACGTCAAAGCCCTTTCAAGGTTCATTAGCATATAGTAATGACAGCATGTTTCTCCTAGCCATATTTAGTGCCAGAAATAGTACCTGTTTATGTTTCTGCTCTAGGTGACTTAGGGACATGTGAGCTTTGGACGCATTACTATTTAATTCCTTGACCAGGCTGTGATTTTAACTAAGTCATTGGCATCTTGTACTAGAGACAAGTGATTAATTTATCTTGTTTTTTTTAATTATAAAACCATTGTTTTAATGCCTGTTACAAAGAGTCTGAGGTTGCCCTTCATTGCCATGGCAAGTTACAGATATGTTCTACAAATAAGACACACTTAAGTAGCATAGGAACATCTGTTAGTACTAAGGGAATGACAAATACTTAATCCTAGACCAATAACAATTGAATTAAACTCTCTAGTGCATTACTAACCATATATCCCTATCCCTGTATAGCTCTTACAGTATTAAAGTGGCATTTTTTTAGGTGCAGTTTTTATAACAAAATATTTGACTTTCTGGTAAAACTCCTTTAGATTAAATTGCTTTCCAGGAAATTAATGTAACATATATGTTATGAAAGATTGGGTCAACAACAGGAATTTAAATTTTAATATCCATTATAAAAGCCTACAAATACATTTCTTTTTTTTTACAATGCTTAAAGTAATCATTAACAGCTTTACATCTTTAAAGAACATACTCTGTTTATACTTTAAAAGGGCAAGTTTAATGTAACTATTAAGTCTAAAGCATCTATTCTAAATGCAGTTGTTAACAGAAATAACCTAGTTCAACATCCTAAAAAAAGCAGTTTATTGTACATTGCAAAGTCCTTTGCATGATATTATTATAAAACTTATCATAAAAGCTGGAGAAAGTACTGAATGAGCACATAAACAGCGACGCACTGAGTTAATGAAGTTTATGTGTGTTTTTAGGTACCTAAGTTGGCCTTTAAGATCTAAACTAGAAAACAATATTTTTGAAGAACAGCCCAATATCCTCCCTCATGCAGCTTATTCAACTTCTGTAGTTTAAGTCTTATCACCCAATAAAGATATATAGAAACAGGAGTTTTTTGTAATTTATGCATTTTTGGCAAATTCACCCTTAAAATGACTGACAGACCGAGTGATTCAGGCTCCTTAAAAGGTCACTGTGACACTCCCTTGACAGGCCAGAGGAAAATCTCTACAGGTCTTTGATCAAAAATGGCATTAAGTTAATTGTAACAGCAGAATCTAATTGTTAGGCTTCACTTCACAGCTTGAGTCTTGAGTACAGCATTCAGTACTTGTTTAGCTATTTTCCAATATCAGCCAAGTTTTTAGACTTTTCTTGTGTAGTATCTATAAGTGGATTGCTTATGTCCCACTACAAGGATTTAAGTTCTCATTGCTACATGAATATTTGCACCTTACAGACCCTGAGTAACTCTTAGTTACAAGTGAGTTCTGAAATCCTTGTAGGAGAGTTTGGTATTCTTCACAAAGATGGAGCTGTGCTTTCACTCTCATCTTCCTGCTAAGGAACCAGCCTAACAGCTGGAAGCCTGGTGCTGCTCTGCTTCAGCCCTACCTCTAGCTACTTGTGTGCTTTTAAGCATATCCCAACAGTGGATGTTGCACTGGATGAACAACCATAACAGTTGTTTTTGAAAGGACGGGGATAGGAGACCATCTGTAGAAAAATGTCAAATGAAATCTACTTCTAGTAGTTTTGGCAATATGTGTTACACAATACTTCATTACATCCTACTTTATAGCCAGTATTTTACGTGGTATTATATGTGTACTATAAAAGGTAATAGAACACAAGGTCTTTTTTTCTTCTTTTCTTTTGCATAGTCTTGAGAAAAGTTGGAGCAAATAGGCATTTCGGGTTTCCAAGTGCAGGAGAACCGAACACAGCACATGTAGTATCTGTGCAGGATGGCATTTTCTATCATCTGTTTCCTCCGTATTTGGCCACCCAGTCTGTTCTTCCATGTACTCGCTGAATTGTTGGTGGGTAAGTTAAGATACTCATGTTTTTTGCTGGTGAATTGAAGGTAGGACCTGGTAATGGAGCATGAGCAGCTTTGGTTTTCCAAGAAAACTCTGAAAGGAACAAGAACTCAGAATTAATGATGACTACTGAGAGGTTAAAGACGACTTATGGTACTCAAGGATGCCAATGCAGCAGGATGCTTTGGTCTCCTACATGGCATAAAACATCCTGAGTCGGAAGAGACCCAAAAGGATCATCAAGTCCAACTCCTGACCCTGCACAGGACAACTGCAAGAATCCCATGTCTCAGAGCATGCTGTCTATGCTTGTTTTCAGATAAGGTGCATGTTTCCTCTAGTTTGTGTGTCTTATTATTCCTCACCTACTGGATCCTTGCTTTACAGCAATCCCTCGAGAAAATACTGAGACTGAAGTTCAGTAGAAAAACTGATGCATATACCTACAATTCTGTATCTCCTATTACAAAACTGCTACAGAATGACTGTGTTCTTTCCTCTATCTCAAATATTTTAAAAAGCATGTAATTATAACTTCGATAAATTTATTAAGACCCAAACAACTTAGACTGAGGGACAGCTTTTGGAGACCTCCTTGTTCCTTTTGAGATTTTATGCCTTTTATCCCCTCCTGCTCAGCTCAGAATTCCTGGTGACAAGTCCTGGTGACAAGTTCTCTGTGCTGTTTCCCATGTCTCCATTGATTTTATAGGATCTATTTCAAGTCTGAAGGTTTTTTTATTCCTTAATTTTGGCATCCACCTGATCTCAAGCACTAGCAGTAGTGCATTACTGTATTCCTGGCCTTCCTATTCAGATTTCCCCTTTTTGCATTTCAGGTAGTTGGCACTTCCTCAAGCTTCATGTGACTAAAGTAATTGTGCTGCTGCACGGGCTGATGTTGCTTCATGTTCATAACCAATTCTGCCATTTCCCCAATCCTTTAAAGTCAGTCATTTGGGACCTCTTTTATTCAGACTCCTGCTATACCTTAGCATTCCCAAAGTAGATCCTGCCCCTTCCATTCCTACACTTGTAGTTTAGTCTTCTTTTATTATGTATTAGTGATACTCTTTAAAAAAATTTCACATTTAAATTTAATGGTTCTTTGGTGCCTATGTATCATTCTGTTTCTTAGAGAAACAGTGGATTGAACCCATTAAAGAACAGGTGAGAATCAAGGCATTTAAACAGGAGGAACATCAAGGAACTGAAACTGAGGGTCAGGTCTCCATTTCTATGAAAACTAATACTGTTCCTTTTTATTTCTAGGCTGGCATTCCCTATCTTTGGTCAGCAAGTATGATTCCAGCCTACAGTAGCTTGAAAATGAAGGCCACTTTTCCTGGGTCTTGGCATTTTCCACAGAGAAACTGATCCTTTATACTATGTTAAATTATTTAAATCATGGCATTAAAAAACTTAAGAAATTAAGAGAGAAATACAATTGAAAGCATAACTTATTTCAATTTGGATAATACAAAGCAAAGGGTCACCAAAAATGTTAACGTTCAAATATTGACAGCTAGGAGATAAAACCTGCCATTTGCTTCATCCTTATCTCTCTTCCCATGCAAGTCTGCAGAGTTTAGGCTAAATATGACGGATTTAAAGCAATAGGATTCTTGCTCTTTTACAGGACATGGAAGAGTCTCTTAATTGACCTCTCTCTGCCAGCCTTTCTGACTTTTACCACACATTTTCCATTTCTAATTACAGATTAACAGTGAATTTATTTCCCTTTGGAACACCATCTCTAATTCCTTCTCTTTCACACTATTCGCAGCAGTCTAGAGATAGTTGCAGATTTTGTCCTCCTGTGAACTTCTTGATACACACACTGTGACAAATCAAAACTCTCACAGTTGTGTTCCAGCAGTGAGTTGATAAGATAATGAACTGCAGCTCCAGCCTTCCCTGGTGGGCTTCTGATGATCTCAGACACAGAATACATATACATCTATGCATATTTTATATATGCATGCCATCTCCTTCCTTCCCTCCCTCTCTGCTTCTCAGAAGTTACTTGAGAATTTCCAAGGAGAGCAGGTAACTCAAAAGAGCACATCAGCAAAAAGACATTATTAAGCAGGACCAAATCATATTGGTGTGCCATAAGCCCTTTGGTTAAACAATTCACCATTAGCTGAGGGCCTTGCTGTTTGCTCTGACGTAACTAGAGAAGCGTGCTGCTGGGTTTGGACAACAGCTCTGAATCTTCACTCACAAACCAGTTTTCCCTGCATCCTGAGCACTTTTATGTTCGTCTTCTCTGAATTGGGAACATACCAAAAAAGAAGGTGCTCAGAATGTCATCCATACTGTAGAGGATCCAGGGTAACAGTTTCATTTTGAACAGACTTCACGTTGTTTTTTTACCAGATGAATGGAGTCCAGTCTACGCGACCATTTACTACAGAGTTGTGGAGTTACATATTTTTACAATTCTGCTTAGTCCATCACCACTAATGAGCCATAGTTTAGCAAATGGTCCAAACTTTCTAGAATTATAAAAGGTTTGCACCTTTTGTAATTATTTTCTTTTTTTACCCAACAAATATTAGTAACAGTAGTTTATCTAGCTCTCAGGACTGCCTCTGGGCACCTACATTCAGTTCACTTATGTTAAGAAAAAATTATGCCCTACAATTTCATTTATAAACTTGAAGAAAACCTTACTAAGGGCTAATTTCTGTGGAAGCATGGAAAATTAACATTTCTCTTTGTCTTGGTTAAGTATGGTAAAAGGATATTTCTTACCTGATACAGGTGCACCAAGAGGTGCTAGCTGTATCCGTTGTCCAGCTGATCCAACTTCTTTTTTATAGAAGGACGGAGTGTATATTCCTGATGGGTTGTAAGCAGCACTACTTACAAAGCCAGGATTTCCTGTTGACATTACAAAATTTTAGAATTTTCAGTTGCATTCAGAAAACCTTGCCTACTTTTTGTAGTCACTTCAAAATATATTTGCGGTACCCCAAGAGTACTCCCTAGTGCTCATCTCTTGAAAAAAATTATATATTCATTCTTTGGTTTGTGTATTAGTTATACCCTTTACAGTACTTAGAAGGCTTGCAAGCTGGAGATCAGCAGAAATAAAGACAACAGAGAAGGGTGAATATTTCATTAGTACTTTCATTAAACTTAAGACCATATAGAAAAGTTTACACGGAGTTTTAGAGAAAGATAGAGAGGATCTTACCTTTTGCTTACTTGCTTTACTGAAAGCTGGTTTAAGCTGTTGGAAAACTAGCACTCAGCCCTACTCTTATGCTCAACATGTTTGGTCTAAATCTATCTAAAAGAATGGAAACCCAGATTTTCCTGGGGGAAGCAGTGCACCACTTGAAGTTGACTGCCACTTTCCCAGCTAAAGGTGTACTATAAAGGTCAGACCCAACTACCCTCTTTCTTTTACCCTGGTTATAATATTACGCCTATTTTTGGTTCAGATCTTTCTTTAAAGCAGTACTACCATGAAAAGGTTGACATAACCATCCTCATCTGAAAGCTGAGAAGCATTGTGCATGTACACACAAAATTAGTACTGAAATTTGTGTCCACTGGCAGAGGGATCTGTTACAATAGTTAGATTCCTGGCTCCAAGAAAATTTCTTACCTTCCTTATGTCTGTCATCACTTGGGAGAGTGTTAAGACTGTGCTGGCACAATGTCCAGAGAGAAATGCTTTTCTCTAGTGGCATGGTTCTGTGCTCAGTAGTATTAAATTTGTGAAGTACAAGGCCATGCATAGTAGTTTATTTTAACCTTTATTAAATGCAAGCGTATTCATCATCGTTTCAGTGGTAGCTGCACTAAACACGCAGTATCTGCTTTGACAGTTTTTGTCTCCTAAGTTACTGGCCTTTGTGCAATCCCATGATGTTCCTCTTCACACAAACACTGATTATTTCAGAGCTCAGAGCAGTGGATCTATAAGCTGCAGAAGTGGTCATCTACAACTCAGAAAAGGTACCCTCAGCTAATTACAGCTGCACTGGCTTGTTGCAAACCTCCCTGTTCAGGAGCACTAACAACAAGCATTCAGCTAACCCAGGTTTGCCAGGCTCCTCACACTGTCACTTCACTGCTCTCCAAATAGCTGGGTCTCCCTGTAGCATTCCTCTGTCCACTTGATGCCAGTTTGCACAGTAAAGAATGACGCATCAATACAGCTGGTGAAAAATAAAACTTTAATGAAGTGTTCCAATAAAATTGAACTTTCTTGTAGAGTCTGAGTTGTTCTTCCTTTTCAGGAATTTGCCTGAAAACCAAAACAACACAGTTTTAGTGGTTCATTCGCCTGCTTGTGGACATATACACACACATGCTCTTATTCCCCACTTCCTAACTATTGGAAGTAAGAAAATGTGAGTGTGTATATATATAATAAATAAATAATAATAAATAAATAATAAATAATAATAAATAAAGAGGCCTCAATTAATACAACCTCGAAAATACTACTTCTATCTGCTTCTTTTCTACAACTTGGCAAATCTGCTTAATTGTCCAAAATTGCTCAATCATTTCTTTGGTTCTCCTTACCTCTCTGTGTCCAATGTGCTTTATGAATTCTTCTACAGGAAGTGAAAAATTGCAGCCAGGATAAACAGTCTGGGTGAAAACAGGTCTGGAGGGGTGATCTTTTGTTGGATGAGAACAAGGGAAGCAGGAAAAAAAAAAGTTCAGTATAAAACAGCAGAATAGCTACAAATTTAAAAACATCCTATTTAAAAGCACAGTTCCTTACCTCAGACTACTGCCAAAAGAAGGGGTTCTTGCTAGAGAAGAAGTCCTCTGTCAGGCATCCAGGAGGTCTGGCAGCTGGTCTATAGGCAAGCACTCACTGCCACGATATCCACAAGTGTAAAGGTGACCAAGGCCATACCCCCTCTCAAACAACACTTACTTGATTCTTCATAAAGGTCATTGAATTGTTTGAGGTGGGTAGTGAGTTCAAAAAACCCTACAAGTAGTTGCAATGAGATGTGTCGGATGGGCAGTACACACCAGAGGCGGCAGGAACGGGAGGAAAGGTGAAACATTCCAGCATTTGCAATGCTTATAGCCAGCAGTGAATTTAGACACAAACTAGGCTGCCTGGAATCCTGAGCTTCCACCCTCTTACATTAAGGTAACTCCACCAAAATCTGTTCAACTACAGCGCTGTAAAATCAGTATACAAATCAGGTAGAGAATCTGAATGCAGGAAATGGTGCAAGTCCCAAGTGCTGTTATGAAAAAGCAGTCCTTCAGGAGAGATGCACGTGCTGCTTTAGGATCACTTCTTCACCATTCTCCAGCAACAGGGCAGTGACCTGCTGTGGATCATAATTAGGGTAATAAAATACTCTCTGCCTTTTAAGGCACAGTAAGTGCCAAGAATCCAGAAGTCACAATGAAGAGAGCAAGGTCTGACAAAACAGATTACAACTGCAAATGGAAGTATATGATCATCAGGAACATGCATTTTAAACGTACTTATTTTACAAGAAACTGTAAAACATAAATAAGAAATGTACAAAGAACTAGGCTACAATTGCTATAAATTACCTTTTGGATCTTCTAATTTTTCATTAAACCTTTCTTTGCACGATAGCTTTTCAATGGGTATGATTAAGTTCTCATCTGTAGGTAAGGAAAACGGAAGGAAGAAAAAGATGGAAAGACAGAACTTTAGAAAAAGGGTAAGGAGAACCTGTTTCGGTGATGTAAAAGAACTGAGGGGGGAAAAAGCAAGCAAGAATGAATATCTGATGTGTTTGTAACTATAATGTCTCATTCTTGTTTTCTTAAGCAGAAATTGTTACTCTAACAAGTTACTTTACAAGGTCCTTTGTAATAATGGCATAAAAATATGATGTACTAACAATGCAATTACATTTCAGTCACACAAATACATAAATCACAAGTTTAAGCACTTGGTCTTATCTATAAAGTTGACTGATCATAAACTTACAATTCTTCATAATTAAAGCATTTGCAACTATTTGCATTTATCTTATTTCACCTTAGAGCAATGTTGTGGATGATAAGAAAAGAAACAAACAGAAAAAAAAGAGCACCTAAATAAACTATACATAGTTATTTAAACAGAGCACAGTGTCAACTTTCAGTTTGTCAATATGAAAAAAGAAAACATACATAATTTACATGTGTTGTATTCCTATGATCCAGCTATCCTGGTTTCATGTGTGTGTGTCTTAAATGTTGCTGTCTCCCCAGTCTATGAAACATCATACGTAATTTAAGCTACTGATGGAAATGATACCAGGTATTTTCAAACATAACAAATACTGATTTTAGAGGGTTTTTTCCCTTTAAATTTTTAGTATTAAGACAAAAGCAGGATATCTACCATTAGGATTCATCTTAATTTTATTTTCAGTGCAATTCAGTAGGTAGATGTCTAGCTTATTGATGCATACTTTTGGAAGCAGCTCTTTGCCTTTTTGTGCCTGATTTCCTTGCAAGATTATTTTATGAGTATGTTAATTAATTCTGAGGCACCTGAATATTATATTTCAGGAAACAAAAAGGTACATATGATGATTTACTTTAAAAACCCTCTTCTATTCAATCAAAAATTCTGGTAGGTGCTGTTATTTTTCCACTTTCTGAAATCTTGCACATTAATTCAGATGACCAATTTCAGGTCATCTGACTTTCAGAAGGGAAAATGAGGTTTGTTGACACTGCAGTATGGCTACTAAAGTTCTGTTAAAAAGTGGCACAGCATCTGCACATAAACCTACTGAAGTTCCATCTGTACAAGCATGTAAAGTTGGGTGGTTTATTTGCATTAAAGTATATGAGAATTACTCATCCTAGCTGGACAGTGGCTGCAGAGCTGTTGACAATAAGAGGGTGACAGAGGGTGACAGAACAGTGTACTTCAGGTATAGAGCTTGGTGGTGAGAAGATGGATTTTAGTCTGGAGTCTGCTGCCTTCCTCAGTGAAATCTGAGATTAGGTGTTTAGCTAGCCTTAGTCTTCACTAATAGTGTACTTCACAAAACATACTACCAAAAATAACTTCCCTGAAAGTTCCTGAAAATAAGGGGACTTTTCCTGCAGCACAGTATTTAGGACAAGGCTAGGAAACTGATAAAAGACATGTTTAGAATAATAGGCAGCACTTTTATTACATGAGCACACCACTCACCGTTTTTTTTTCACAGGGGTCACTGCTGTTTGCTAATGTTCCACGGCACACTGAGCAGGCAGTAATGAGGTCAAACTATTTGCTTAAATACAGTACCTATGGTCTAAGAGGATTATGGACAAAATTTATCTTGACAAAACTTTATAAAGAGTGGCTGGCCTATACCTCCTTAATGTACTGAAAGCAAAGTACATAGTTTTACATATGAAAAAGTTATGTGAAGAGTCATTTGTTAAAACGAGTCAAAAAAGAGCCTAGAAGCTAAGGTTGACCACAGAAGTTAAACCAGATGGTCTTAACTAAATTAATTAAATAAAGTATGATGAGGTACAATGTGACCATTTTCAATTACACTTTTACCTGTAGTATTTCTGTTGAAAGTCAATCCGCCTCCAGCATGTGCCAGCGATTTAGAAAATAACTGGTTGTTCCAGGTTCCTTGTGATCCTTCTCTATTGACTGCTGCTAAAGAGACACTCTTTGGGTTTACACCTTAGAAAACAAACAATAAATAATGTTATAAATATCAATTTTCATGCATAATACAACCCAAGAAAACTGGACATTTTTAGAACAGTGAACCAAGTGTGAATTATTTGTGCTATAATGTGAATACCATTAATGTAAATTAACAATGTTCATTGATTAGGTTAGATTTTTAAGCTAAGCCATGAAAACTAGTGACACTGATTTAAGAAAAATTCTCTTTATGCTTTCAAGAGAACTTTTAACAGTCTTTTTAGTACATTTACTTAGTTTCTATAAAACCATGATTGCAGTACTGATATTTTTGTCTATCAAAAAATTAACATAAATTAAAAATACCTATCAAAAACTAGGGTTCTCAAGACTGAAAATAAACTATTTCTTTAAGGGTTAAGTTAAAAAGTAGGACAAAGAGGTTGTTGTTACTTCGCATGTTAGGAGTATTACAAGAGTTAATGGGATTACACTGCACGAAAACAGCTCCCAGATCTGCTGGTTACAGAACTAAAGTAATATGTATAAATAACAAATATGCTCCTCGGAGCTATTATTTGCTTAAATCTTGGAATTCGTTATTTTTTACATCTATGCCTTTCTAACTGAAAACCAGAGAGACACTAGAATCATGCTTAAAAGAAGATAGGAAATATAGATGAACCTTCCATTTGTGTTACCTTCAAAAAGGGAAGCTCTTTGCCCTTTATATTTTTCTTTTTCTTTTCTTTTGGACTTAAACTGTTGAGCCTCTGGGCATCCTACTTAACATTCAGGAAGTGATTGCATTTTCAGAAGTCATCATTTACCCTAATGAATTCCTGACAAATTAATGATATGTTGTAACAAAACAACTTGCCTGACAATGAGGAATTCCTTTGAGAGCCACCTAAATTCTCCCATGTGGATTACAGCAGAAGTCATGATATGCTTATTGGAATTGTACAGACCCTCATGGTAACAAATAAATGATACAAAGTGACACCAAGAATATAATTCGATTATAGTATATATTTAGAATATTTCTTGAAGTATTCTACTCTTTGCTTTCCCCTCCTTTCCCTTCTCATTTCTATCAATTACATAATTTCATGTTATTTTCCTGATAAAAGCACCCAGACTTAGACTAAGGTATCTATTTTTAAAGATACCTGGTGAGGGGAAGTGAATGTGTGAATTCCTAGCAGTGCCAGTGGTTTCCAAACACTTCCTACAAGGAAGGCTAACTGTGAACTTATGTTCAAAAAGACCTCCAACCTCCTGACACTGCAAAACTGGTAAATATGCATTATATATATATATATATATAAAATCATAGAATGGTTTGGGTTGGAAGGGACCTTAAAGATCATCTAATTCCAACACCCCTGCCATGGGCAGAGACACCTCCCACTAGATCAGGTTGCTCAGAGCCCCATCCAGCCCGGCCTGCCAAGGATGGGGCATCCACAACTACTCTGGGTTACCTGTTCCAGTGCCACACCACCCTCACAGTAAAAAATTTCTTCTACATATCTAAATTTCCCCTCTTTCAGTCTGAACCCATTACTCTTTGTCCTGTCACTATGGTTCCTGATGAAGAGAATATATGTAGTTTCTTCAGTCCTCAGACACAGGCCAATTAGGATATATTCCTAATAATCCTAGAGACGTTGGATTTATATTACTGAAGATTTTTTATGTTACTGGTCATAAGAGGTCCTGCAAACTTTTATGGTGTACAAGCAGTGTTGAGCTCCTGCCATGTTTACATAGCCATGAACTTCTGCATCAATTGTGATATGTTCTGGGAAAGGCATTTTTGCCCAAAGCTTGAAAATTTAGCCTGGTTATGAACAGTAAAGTTATCCAGTAAGAGATCTAAAGTTTAAATGTATTGTATGTAGATTGTGCCCACCTTGTATTTTCTATATGTATTGACTTCTAACCTTACCAGGTAGATATCTTGATTGTTTTAGATAGTACTGTTTTGCTGATGTATTTGATCTTCCAGAATCATTTCTCATCAGAACCTTATTTTCCCCTCCTGGCTGGATACAGCATGAAGCCTTTGGTTCTGGCACACTGAAAAATCAAAATTTTCAAACAATGTGACCAACCCCTCCAGCTCAGAATACCACAAGCTGACCCTAGCCTGAAGAATACAGTGCTCTTCAGTTATCCCACTTTCATCAGCAAAGTCTATTTCCAAGAAGTAACAGCCAGATCTAATACCTCATGAGAGTTTGACCTGGTTTTTGAAGAAATAAGTGTATCCAACACTACAAAGAGCAAATGGGGATAACTGGCAGAACATAGCATCACTTAACTGACAAAGGAAATTATGTTGGCATGTCTGATTCTTAATAACACAAGAAACACCTAAACCATGTAGTGCCTGAAAGCAAATTTGATTCTGTTGGGATACTACTAGCACCATATCAACGTCACACCCAAAGTTGGTCTGCTCATACAGCTTTTGACATTCCTGCAGAATTTTGGTGACTTGAATTTTAAAAGACTTGTCCTAATCATTCTATAAATCTACTGGACACTGTTTGCTAAAAGAAAATACGATTTCATAATCGTAGGACCTACCTGAAAATAAATTCCTTGGTTTTCTTTTCTTTTAATGGTGCAATGCTAGGCTTCTTTGAACATGACATTCCAAATTCAGGGTCATCCAAGTCATCCCAGCTATCCATAGCCTTTACCAAAGTCTGACCCCATCGTCTTCTGCAGCTTTTAGGACCTAGTGCGACATTCAGAGGGCCACTAGCTGCTTGTTTCTATTTTAAATACAAAAAAAGAAAAAAAAAAAAGCTTTAATTCCATTCTAAAATTTTATATTTTGTATCTAGTTTACTTTCTGACTACTGCTTAAAGAGTTTGAGGGAATTTTTCTTGTTATGTTGTGCCTGTTTTGGTCATAGTCTCATAATGACTTTAGGTACAAACCATAGCAATAACGCCAGCATGTATTTTGAGTGTAGTTTTTTTGGACTCTCATCCTTAAATTGCCCAAGTCTACCTAAAGTAGTGAGGTTAACAGTCTATTTGCAGATCCAGTTCAGTGTTCAGCCTCTACTACTGGTATCTTGCTGAACTCGTGCTCTAAACAGTGATAGATGAACCTTTGAGAAATAGAATACAATGGTGCAGAACACTGCTGTGACCCCCAAAGTAATTACAGCAAATAAAAGAAGCTTGTCAGGCCTTTCTTTACATTCTCTTCCAATGAAATTACTAAATTTCAAAACTATCCTTTCATCTGACTACCATTTGCTTTCCAGTATTTTCTGAATACCTTTTACTTTTAACATGCTTTATATTGCAGTTCAGTGAATACAACCCAAAAGCAAAATGAATATTACAAACCGAAGTTTACTGTTCATCTTGCAAAAAAATATTGTTAAATTCTTGCAAGGTTAGGAATTGGATAAACCTTCTCGGGTATTTTCCTGCATGAGGCAAGAGAGGTTCTCCCTTTCCACTTCTCTATTGTATACTGACAGTATTTTTGTGAATTGTTTCCCAAAGGTCAATAAATCATAGCTGTTATAACTACGTTACTGCATAAGCATGTCAGTAAGGGCTATTATAAATGAACACACGTTGTTACAAGCAATTTTTTCTTCTGACTGGGTGCAAAATTTTAATAAGTGATCTGGCATATCCTAGTTATCTATTTGTATTTCCTCTAATAAAACGTAGGACACTTTACAAGGAATCACCTGGCTGAATATACTAAGAACTTTTCACAAAATCACCTAAGTAGTTATTAAAGACAACTTACAGGTGATGAATTTTTATTGATAACTGGAAAAAAGGGTTGTGCCTGTGGCTGCTGCTGCTTTGGTACTTGCTGGTTAGCTGTATTCTGAGGCAACTGAATTTGCTGGAGAGGCTGGTGGTTAACCTTTGGCAGGGGCTCTGGCTGTGTTTCGACAGGTAAATCAGGTGAAGACCGAGGTTCTGGCTTGGATATAGCTTCCAGTTTAGGAAGAGTTGGCTTTGGCTCTGTTGGCTGAACTGGTTTAATAGGAGTCTGCTTCTCCAGATACTGTGGAGGAGGTCCTAAAATTTGGCCAACTTGAAAGTAAGGATACTTCAAAGCCTGGAGAAGAAGATAGAACATACTAATTTTACTTCAAAAAGTTGTTTTTGGTAACGTCAGCAAGGATCTAAGCAGGTTTCTGAAACATTTAAGCAAGCAAATCCTGCACAGACGCAAGATGGGTGCATAATGAGATCAGATGTAAACTGTGTATTGATAACTGGCAGTTCTGTGTTTCAAAGTCTTCCCATCATAACTTAGTAAGACTGATCCAACTGTACATGTTACAGAAGTCATGTCCTTTCTTTCCCTCTTTTACAGCTAGGTTTTGTGGAGTCTGGGCTTTCAGGTGTGTTTTACATTCAACACCATTCTAAATTCATGCAGTAACAAGTTTCAATTTTAAAACAAGTAGTCTCCACCACATTTATCACATGCTTTATTACATGTTTCCACTGCTGACTATGTTTTGGCAACTCAAGGAACAGTCTGGGGTTTTTTAATTAAAAAAAAACAACAAACCAAACCAAAAAACCCCAACAATAACAAAAACAAACAAAGGCAAAAAAACCCACACAAGAAAACCCCCCAAACAAAGCAACCCCCCACAAGCAATTCCCCCCCACACACAAAAAAGGCAAACAAACAAAAAAACCCACAAAATAAACAAAACCAACAAAAAACCAGAAGTGAGATGATTGCCATGTATGGGTTTTACAATTACAGAATGTTAATGAGCAAAGTTTCTCCCTCATTTTTCTTATCACTCCTGCTTTTTGTTCTGCTTTAAAATATATCCACTATGCTTGCTGTGTCTTGGTGTTTATCAGGAAACTACAGTGTCTATCTTAAGGCAGATGTTTATTTCATCCTTTTCCTCTGACCTTTTCATGTCCACCATTGGATGCAGAGCATGGGCACACCTTAGTAACACTTCTTCTGTGTCAAAACAGCACATTCTGCTACTCCTTCTGGGTAGGATCCTACTCTTTGTTAATTCTCTAAGAGGTGTTTTGCCTCAGCTGCACTCAGTAATTGCTGCCTTTTTACACATTACAATGTATATGCATTAAACTCTTCCTTTTGACTGTGGATGACACAACTGCTGCAGCTGCTTCCTTGATAACTCACTTGTGTAAAAGCTGGTTATTTGCTTTTATAAGGCACCATAAGGTGTTTTGTGTAGAGATACATAGTACTGGACTACGGATAGATCTCAGTGGCTGTACAATAGATGTGCTTTGTAAAGTGGATAGAAATGGTTGCTGTATTTGGTACCATCTGCTTCACCACTTCTGAATCACTTACATTACATCCAACTTGCAGTGTGTCTTTTCTTTTCCAATTTCCTCTTTTATACTTCTAAATAGGATTACATTAGGTATGAATATAAAAAAAGTAAATCCACATAACGTAACCATCCTTGGTACTTGAAATATATTTTCTTCAAATCAACTTGGAGGAAAACTGAGACCTTTGTGACCTATTGGTATGTTCTTCACAAAGTTCTTTCCTTATTACTTCCTACAATTTACATCCCACCTCCAAGTAAAAGTGATCCTTAGCTTTTCCATACTGTATTCCATCTGCAGGTTCACAAAAAGCAAAGTGTAGTTTTCAATAACACCCTTTCCACAGATGGGGGAGGAAAAAAAAGGCAGCAGAAGTGACTTATAGAACACAACCGAGGAAACTTGTGACTCAGCTTTTTCTCTATCCTGTACGGAGAGAGTTTTAAAATATGCCAATACAGAAGACAACATTGCAGAAATAACTGAAGAGTTTATGGTGTCTTCTGAGCCAAGTTTACAACTTTCTCTCCTCACCACTCAATCTCATTCCCACCAAAGTGCTCAAAGTGAGGAGTTGTTTCTGTGGCCATCAGTATTATGACAATCAAATGGTTTCTGTATCTACAATTTTTTAACAATGCAAGAAAATTCAGCCTTATACTTAATTATTCATGTGCTCAGACCTGACTTGCTGTAGGTCTCTTCTTTGGATTCCAGTTTAGCATGTCGCTCATAAGCTGTATCGCTTCATTGCTTGCATTTGGGATAAGAGTTTTTAGGCTTATAGGGACACACTGTGGGAAACGGAAATTCATGGCAGAAGCAAGGTGGTATCCTTCTGGCCAGTCACTCTGTTTTAAAGGAAAGAAAATAAGTATTAAAAAAGAACAAAGATCATGTATCTTTGAAGTATTACATCAAAATTAATGCAGTTTGAATCATGCTTGGTCTGCATGGCTCCTTGCTAAATAGCTGGAAACAGGCATTCCTATTATCCATTACAATTATTACAACACCGGTGAAGGCAACATCAATTTCCAGTTTCTGGCAGTCCTTAAGCTCTCCTGTAGGTAAAGGTGTAACCATCATTGGAATGAAATCATGTGCATAATTCCTCTAATTCCTTATTGTGGGATACTGGAATAAGTTAAAATTTGTGTCTGAAAAAAATACTATTTGTAAAAGTATCTGCAAAATCAGACTATTAAAATAACTACTTATGTTTTTCAGTAGAACAATACTTCACTTGTAACAAATGCATTACTTGTTGTGATAATTCCTAAAATAATATTTAAGTACTCCTCTCACACACAGATTTCCCTGAAGAATGCCTTAGCATTGTGGTAAGGTGAGAAAACTCCCAAATCTGCCCAGCAGATGACAGGGGCACAAAGGAACTAATTACAGCTTCCTGATCCTAGAGGGCTGATTTACACTGTCTCTAACCCTTAGGGTCTTTTATTGGAGGCTACCGTTTTCTCTGAAATACTCAGCTGAAATACTCCCTGCTTTCCCAAGCAATAAGCTTCCTCATCAGGGAATGGCAGACTCTAAACAGTCATAATTTGCTTCTGTTAACTACTTGTAAGGTTAGAGAAAAAACACAGTGGTCATCTCAGTGCTGCTCAGTTATTGCTCTGCAAAATGAAAAGCTTTCCCTGCACTTCCAGAACTTGATGCATTGAAAATGTTCTGGAAGCTAGTATGTTGCTCTCTTTCACAGATATTCTTAACATGCATCAAAATGTTCTTCTTAGTATCCTAGACTTGTGATCTGCTTAAGAAACTTCACATCTGCATTTGAAAACACAAGTCTTCAAATACTGCTCATTATTGCGCATTATTTTGATGCATAACTGTGTCATGGCAAGCACTGTTTTACACATCATACCAGTTTTCACTTAGTCTTCTAGAGACAAGTTTCTCTTCCTCAACATACCACGTATAATTCTCCACTTGACCTTTTACCCTCTGCTCTGTCACGAGTTTGCACCTGTTTCTCAGTATGTTCTCTTGGATGTCTTCCCACCACTTTCAAGCTCTTCATGTTCTCTTCATGTTCCTAGCTAAGCTTAACCTGTTTCTGTTTTAAGTTTTCACTTCCTTACTTCTCTATCGATAACAGCTCCATTACTGGACAAGAATTATACTATATTTTACATCAGTAGAACACTAATTAAACTGATTTTTCTCTCCCACCCTTAGGTTTTTCCAGATCTAGAGACTCTATGTTCAGTCTGTTATGTCACCAAGCTCTGTCTGCATCCATAAACTACTGACAGACATCTGCCTTTCTTCCTTTAGTCACCAAAATTATTTAATAGTATGTGGTCTTTTTTTCAGTTTATTCAAAAATGCAAAGGTAAGCTTATTCTTTTCTTGCATGTTCACATACCCATTTGCTAAATGAACTCTTAAACTACAGTAGATATAATTGCATCCATTTTTATATGCACTAACCAAACCTTTCTTGTAATTTAAAATTGTATTTATCCCATCCAGAAAGTAACTGAAAAAAATTGTTTCCTCTCTAAAAGACTGCCCATTTTCCCTCCATTACTTCTAATTGCTAATAATGCTTATGAGATATCTATTTTTGAGATGAAATGTTTCTTTTATGCTTTAAAAATAAGAAAAGCATAATTTGTCTTAATTATGGTATCTTCTACTAGCTCTAAATTCTGGGTGCCACCACAGAAAAACTGCACTTTCAGGAAGGGAAAGCAAACTGGCTGTGGCAAATGAAATCCTGGGAGAGTTCTGATTTACTTTCCAATATGAATAGCTTTAAATAACTAAATTAAACAATTTTATCTGGCTTTCATCACAGGAGACAAGGCTACACATAATGCTGTGAAACACAGCAGATGATAATATACAACAAAGGACTAGCATTACGTGCCATAATGGAAGCTTAAATGAAATACAGTTGAGAAAACCTTAAGCCTCAGGAAACTTACTAAAACAATAATATAATATATATGTTCTGAAATATAGGTAACACAGTGTTTTGTAAAAATTTGTTTGTTTGTTTTAAAAATACAACTGTAAGAGTATTTTTAAGTCTTACCTTCTTTGGAGTCCCCAGTACTTGGCAAATTTTGAAGATTTCATCTACTTCGCTTGTGCCTGGGAAAAGAGGTCTTAGTGTGTATAATTCAGCCATTATGCTGCCAACTGCCCACATATCAATAGGTGAGCTATAGATAGATGATCTCAGCAAAACTTCAGGAGCCCGGTACCTATGAGGATGGAAGGAAATAACAGGTAAATTAAAGTGGTAATAGAAAGGTAATTAGTTAAGCTAATGTATTAAATTCTTAATATACTTACCACCTGGTAGAAACATAATCTGTGTAAGGTGGCTGAGATCTTAGTTCTCTAGCCAAACCAAAATCTGCTATTTTCACAAGTTCTGGTCCAATACAGAGAAGGTTTTCAGGCTTCATATCTCTATGAAAAAATCCTATAGACGATCAGACAAAAAAAGAATGGCAAATCATCACGTAATCACTTCTTAAGCAGCAACTTCTAAGAGAATAATCCGATGTTTACTTTGGGATGTTTTAGAAGAATATAGTCTTTTCCTGTCTTTATTTATTTCTTTTTTTTTAAATATATATTCAACATACAAGAATTTTAGCCCTCCCCCAAGAAGTGCACTCATTTTCTCTCCAGTGATTATTACACCAAGTGTTCTTAAATTAACAAATGTAAATAGCCATGAGCACACTAAGGAAAATGAATTTGCTATTGCAGCCACATCATATAGCAAACCAATTTCAGAATGAAGCCTTTTGCAAAAACTACACCTGCTTGTTCAGTTTTGGATAATGGAAAAATTAAGCATCTGACACACTTACTTGATTCATAAAATTGCTTGAATGATTTTTTTTAACTAGTTACTTATCATTCTGAAAACAACTTTGCAATATAGACATATAAAAGATATCCAAATTCTGCTCAGGAATACTAATTATTAGTAATGCAGGCACATAAAGTTTCTTCAGTGCTTGCTGTTGGCTTGAGCACCTCTATACCTGGCAGTGGTTAAGTCGCTAAGCAAATCAATTCTGCTAATTAATTGGAACACACAATTTGTTATATGATACATTAATTTGTTAGAAATTCACTTGCTAGAATAAGGCATTCAATTTCTGCACGCACAGATTTAAAATCACTCTAAAAAGTTGGCTGAAACTATTACAATGAAGTGTAAATATTCAAATTTATCATACCTCTCATTCCCAAACACGGTCAAATCAAAATATTTATATTGTACCTTAAAGTTTGAAGTTTTTCTTAAAATCTCATTTTCTCACTTATTTCATGGAGAAATGGGGAAGGAAAGCAGGATGCTAACAATCAGAGAACAGTATATGATCTTGATCAGAAAGACAAGAAAATGGCAATGTCTGGGTATTTGATAATACTGAACAGAACTAATTATTTATTTGAATTCATCAACAGGCCTTATCAGGGTACATGAAAGTCAATCAGACTTCACTGGGAACATTGTTTCATACTTAATTTTCAGCTAATTAAGAGTTTTGCAAACTGTGTGAAACTTCCTATTGTTGTGAGCACACTGCATCTTTTATTTAGACTGTGCCTGTAATTCCTAGAAACATCCCATCTATTAAAATATTTAAATTCAGATTGTATTTGATAAGGAGATTGAGTTTCTCAATGAACAAGTTATATTAATTTTTACATTTTTTTATATGTAGGGTATCATATTAGTTATAGTATCGCAACACAAAAGTATTGCTGTATCAATGCTCCTTGATTAAATCTTTGTGAGGAAGCAGAAGTGTTTAGTATAGCACAGCATACAAGTTTCTGTAGTTTGTTTATTCATCTGGTAGGTAAGGCAGAAAGAACTACTGAACAATGGATTTTCCTCTTTCTTTTGGAAAGCAGTGGATGTTTTTCATACAGTTACAGGAAAACAAAGAGTAACTTGAGGCATGGTTTGAAACTGCACTATGCTTGAAACAGGTAAGAATATTTTATTAGAGACAATTAATAGCCTTTGCTAGGTATTTTTATTCATGTTATTTCTATGCATGATCTCCTTTTCCAAAAAAAGTGCAACACAGTTAAACTCCAGTATGAAACATACCGTGTTTGTGGACGAAAGCCAGCCCTTGTAATATCTGATACATCATGTTTCTGATGACTGACTCAGGGAACAACTTATTTCTGTGAAGAAACAGAGTAACAACTTCACATAATCAAGAAAAAATAATGTATCTTCAGAACACACCTGCCTCTTCATTTTGTCTGACGCATCATGAACAGATGAAAACAGACCCATCAAGTCTTGTGCACAAAGAGGCAAGCACTGTAAGTGCTGCAGGGGAACTTCTCTGCTGAGAGGTTCATGGTCCTATCTCTCTGTAGAAGCTGGCTGGCCAGCAGTGTGCTTGACCAGGTGAACATGGAATGAACAATAATGTAGCAAGGCAGACATGGCACAGTGATGTCACCCAGTGGTACCCTTAAGGGAACCCTGACTGAGAGCAGTGCTGCTCAGCTGCAAAGTAACTCTTGTGCTAATATCACAAGCAGCTATCCCAGGACGCCAGCCCAAGAGCTCGGCACATTAGGAGGTAAAAGTGCATGACAAAGTCTGAAGGAAACACACAAATTACAGGCAAAAGCATTCCGCAAAGAAAAACAGGCAGGTCCTGTTCCAAAGTCCACCTTGCAAGTCTTGCTATGTACTGTTTGTCCAAGATTGCAACATCAGTGTTAGCCCATATATAGGTTGGTTTTATGAGCATGCATGCATGTATATGCACCTGAGCATCTCCACGTTAAGCCAAACCCAGGAGCAAAAGTAGAACAAACAGTGCTTATCCAATCCTTCATACATTAAAGTGAAGGCTATTAAAGAAAAAAAAAAAAGTATTTGGAATTTCTCTCATGGGTCTACACAAAGGCATGCAAACTATCATGTTAACAACTGATCAAACTTATTTCCAAAAGCATTAAAATAAACAATCTTGCAACACAGAGCAATGCAGAATTCTACCCTCAGATAAGCAGGTGCAGCAACTCCTGTTCACATCAATAGGGCTGCAAGAAGAGCCAAAACCAGAAATTCCAATGTGGTCTTCAAGGTAGTATGAGAATCATTAAATAAAGCAGGATAGCACATTACTTGTTCTGTGAAAAAACACATACCTATCCTTCATTAACTGATAGAGATTCTCCTTCATGTATTCAAATACAAAGTAAAGGTGGTCATTTTCTCTTATGACTTCTTTCAATTTTATTACATTGGCATGGTTTAGCTTCTTCAGAGACTGTAACAGAGCAAAATATGGCTTCAGATAACTCCACAGTGATCTTGATTCCTTATCAGAACTAAATTTTTAACATGTAAATTTCTAGTACAGAATACACAAAATATGTTAATCTGATACTCTGTTATTTATCTGGTAATGTCTCTTTCAAAGAACAACAAAATAGCGGTTTAATTTCAAAATAAAACAAACAACTATATTAATAGTAGTTTAAACCTATTTATAGGGATTACATCAGAGTTAGAGTGAAGATTAGCATAAAAACCTAATTCCCTACAATGAAAGACAGATCTGAACCCATAACAGCTCCTGCTCACTGAACTGAATAAGAAAATGCAGCTTTTTTTTTTTTTTTTTTTTTTTTTTTGGCATGAAGCTTTAATGAACAAGGTTTTGTTTGTTTGTTTGTTTGTTTTTAAATGTACTTTTTGGATATACTGATTATGTGAAACCTTCAATAAGTTAAATCTAAACTCCTTTGTGAAGGACTTTTGTATAGAAAGGAAATGCCAAGATGCCCAAAACATAGAATTTTAGCTCAGGATTTCAAGTGTTATTCTATTACTTGGTTAGCCAGAAATCCCAGTGCTTTCTACAAATGCCCCAAACACAGCATATAAACAATGGATATATACCTAGAAATCTGCAAATAAAATGAAAGAGCAGGATAGTCAAACACAGAGATACACACACATACAAAATCAATTTCTTTATCTTCTCTGAAAGACAAGAGGCTTGGCTCTGAGACATGGTCACTGCTTGAGAATAGTGGGGTATTCCACAAAGCAGCAGGACTTCTAAAAGTAAGAGCAGCCCAGGGTTTTGTGAAATCTGTCAACATTTAAAGAGTTTGGTCTTATGCTTGGACATTGTAGCTGCCATTTTCCTTCATGCAAGCCTAACAAGATACTTATTTTTAAACATGGTCTGTTCACAGCTTTACCTTGACTTCTCTCAAATTCATACATTCATCCCATGAATAGAACTTTCTTTTCATTCTGAAATACAATTCCGAGATAGAGTATTTTCAGTGAACAGTACAGAATGCTTTTAGAATAAAAAAATCAAACGTTATTTCCTAAGTGCAGCATTACCTGTATTTTGACCTCAGTTTTAAACATACTACCTAGATATGGAGAAACCTGAAATTCTCAGAAATTCTTAAAGAGCAAGTCAGTCAATTATATTACCATTAACCTAGTGCAGTAAGTCCATGAATGAGAGAAAAGAGTTTCAGCAAGATACAATTTCTGGTATTTCAATTTATGCTTTATATTCCGCTTGCAATTCCCTAGGAATTTCGAGGGGAACTTCCCTATTCCTCTAATAAATCTTTTGTTGTTTTGGAATCATCTTTTGAGACAAGTATGACAAAGCTCATGATTACACATAACACAACTGTATTAGATCCACGGAGACAGCCTTTATTTACCTGACCAGATTGTTGCTGCTATTTATCACTGTAGCAACACATGAAACTTAATGCAATATTTACAGAGACTGGGGGGTGGGAAGGTATTTTAAATCTACCCATTAAGATTGGTATTCTCACAAGTCATATAAATAAACTCCCTAATTAAGCAACTGCACATTCAGTTTTGCTTCTCCTTTGGTGTTAGCCTAACAATATTCTTAGAAGGAAGCATATTCAAACTGAACAAAAGCAGCATGCAATCTTATAAGCCAAGATTAATCAGTAACTTAAACTGATGTGTCTCTCTATTGATCTGTTAGCTGAAGTGTGACCCACAAGCATCTTATTAAACACCTTAATTAAAAAAAAATAATTTTGTTTAGTTCCTTTTAAAAAGGGACATTTTTTCTATCCTACACAAATGAAAGACAACAATAAAGTTAAAAGTGAAAATCTTTTAAGACTTTGCAAGTACCTTTACTGAACTGAGATGCTACATACCTTTTGATAGCCACAAGTTCTCCTGACTCGTTGCTCTTCCCCATCAACACACTGCCATAGGTGCCATCACCTAGTTGTTTCATAATTGTGTAACGGTTCATTTCTTTTAAGACTACGAGAGCCAAAGGCTTATGAAATTCTCAATGTCTTCTGCTTTATTAAAGGATTCTATGCTCTTTGATTTTCTTCAGAATATTCTTCCTCCAGACCACTTTATGTTGGTAATTGCTTCTCATAACGTAGCAGGATATTCACTGGTCTCCCCCAAACTTCAGCTACTTTGAGATCCAGATATGAAGTATAAGAGACACAAGAACATGGTCATTCTCACATAGAGCCTTAAAATAAAAAAAAAAAAAAAAAAAAAAAAAAAAAAAAAAAAAAAAAAGGAAACTACATAATTTTCCAGGATTTTAGAAAAGAGACACTACTATTTGTATCAAACTACCCCTCCAGAACTGGATATGTTCTTTAAATAGAACACTTGATTGTCACTAGTTCCTTTAAATCCTTCAAACCACAGAAGGTGCCTACGATTAGGGTTAGAGTAAGCAGCGACTGGAGAGCTAAGATTACTGTCATAATTCCCTAGAACAAGAGAAATATGTTTAAGGCTGGTGTATTCTGATGGAACTCCTTACTCTGAATTTGCAGACAGTAGCAGTTTCCTGATCTGTAACAAAAGCACAGTTTAAACTTTGGATACCATAAGAACCCAAATTTTGCACAGGGTGCCATTGTAAACCTAGGGTCTCAATGCTATTTTGGATTGGTAGTGAAAGCAGGATTTCTGTGCTTAAAAAGTTAGTGAGGAAGGGAGGTGAAGCAGCAAGATAACTGCTGCGTTCTTCACTAAGGTAAACTGAATTGTTATAAATTTACTTGGATATCTTGCTCTGAAGTTTCTATAATTCTTAGACACGGTAATTGCTGAAGAGTTAAATTTATTCTTCAGTTTTACAAGGCCTGCAGAGAGAAGTATTGAGTTCACATGCATGGGTATGAAAGACTAAATCTGAGTTGTCATTCAGAAGAGTATTCACACTGAGCAACGCTGAATCAACATCTTCGAATATACGTAAATCATAATTTGAATCCTGATCCAAACTTGAATCTGAAGCCCAGCTTTCATTATAGGCAATACCATCACCATTGCGTCAGATGAAGGCCAGTTGCCGTAAGTTCTATGCACAAATCCCAAATTCCAACCATGCACTGGCTGCACTTTGGACACAATCCTAAAAAACTGACGTTGAGGCACTCAGGCAAACTTACAATAGTCATCCACTTTTTTAGGCAGGTCTAGGAAAAACTAACAACCTATCACTGTACCATTTACTCACCATAACCCAAATGGCAATACACAAACAAACCACTGAATGCTAACTGAGTAACAGCATTATCTGTACCTTTTGCCTCTGTTATCTGAAAACACAAAATATAGCTCAAGTCAACGAAGCACAGGGTCAGCCTACCTTTACAGGAGACGCAGAATTCAGCGTGCAACTCTGTACTCCTTAGCCTTATGCCAGAATTAGCTACAGGCTGGCCTGTCCAAACAGATTAAGGAACTCAAATTCAGCTGATAACAAGCCTCAGGCTTGAGATTTACAGGCCTGGCAAAATTTAACAGTAAAATTGGCCTCTCTGGAGTGTGAACAATGCATTCTCAACTAGACTAGCCTGCTGTGTAAAGGAACCATCTGCCTGGACAATAGACCAATGTTTCTAAGCTATTATTAGTTGAAATGCTGCTTCCTCAGAGCAGTGGTAACACACAGTGTTACTCCTTATTCCTTGTGTTACCAGGAAGGAATCTCACATCAGCTGTCAAGATGCCAGTAACAAGTGACCTAGTGGACGTGGAAGTGACCTAGTCTATAATCTTTGCACCAGACAACCACCACTTTGGCACTGAAAAATACAAAGATGTTTTTATACACACCCCTCTACACCTCCCCTCCAAAGCCATCGCTATAGTAAAATATGATTTCTGGTTATAAATAGCATATTCTGAAACAAAACTAAAAAGCTGATTTAACAAAAAGTAACAATCATAGACATCTCAAGTTAAAATTGACTTTCATGTATTTAGGCCTATTGTTTTTTTCTCAGAGTTCAGCTTTATATCTTGTTCTCCAAAATGCCTGCACACATTCTAGTCTTTAATACCTTCAATATTGCCATTTCTTCAACAAGGCTACTTTTTTACTCCAGTAATAAGCAGATGATCAAGTGTTTACTCCAAGTTAAGATATATTCTGCATATATATCTTGCAAGTTGTCAATTGTTGGTTTTATGTATATATTAAAAAACCAAATCAACATAAAAACATTCTGAAGGTATTTTTACACCCATTTTAAAACACAGCATCACATTTAAAGCATCATCAACGCTAAACTGTGTATGCATTTTGTGAATAGGTATACATAGGCATATAACATGAAGTAAACTTAAATGTAACAAGTTTTGGGTGCCTGTGTTTCTCTGTTTCAACAAATATCATTGTACATTGCTTAAGGTATGTTTTTTGGAGGGGAGTTTGCAAAATTTGCCAAAGATGGCCCTAGTTTGAACTCCTGAAGTGACATTAAAAATTTGGAGAATTTGCATGCATTTAATTTTCAACCTTTTGCTCTCTAACAAAGCAAACAAAAAAACAAACCAAACCAAAACAAACAAACAATATGAAAACCTCTGTATTTGCAATAAACAGACCAAGATCTAAACACAAATCTCAAGTTTTGACCTTTAAGGCCTCTAATTTTGGTGCCTAAATCCTACCAACTTTCCAAGTAATTTTCTCTGAAGTATATATTAATCATATGCTTTTACAATTAATCCTTTTGTCCAATTCTAATATTTTGGCATGTACCCTTGAAACAACATCACATGAAGTAATTCTCCCCTCCAGAAGTTCTTTGTCATATAATATATCACAGAGCTAATTGTGCATTTTGTCTGTTCTGTAATATATTTTATTTCCTTATTCCTTTTCTTGTGTATATTGTAATTTTTAGGGCACAAAAACACTTAATCAAGTAAAGCATAGAAAAGTCAACACATTCCTTCAATAATCAAATGGAAGGTGTGAAAACTATGTACCCTGGTAACAATGTTTATGTATTGTCATACCTGCCTCCACAACTGATGCATGCTAGGCCATTCCACTAATGACTCTCATTAAAGAGTTGTCTTGGCACTTAGTTTACGAAAAAAAAAAGGCAAACAATGGAACTCTTATAGTGAGATATCATCAAATGAAAACTAGCCAAATGCAGGGGGAAAAAATGGACTGCAGGATCACACTTGACTATAAGCTCTTTTCTAGCTTTCAGGAGAATACATCTGTCATACACATGTATCTAAAAAACCCAAGAGCATTCTTTGGACACTAAGCGGTCAATTTTACAGCAGTGTTAGGGCACACTGTAGTCTGTAGGAAATGCTGGAGGGTGACAGAGGTTTGCTGACCAAAAAAAGGCAGCACTGGGTCCTGCAAAACTTACTGCCACCACCCACCCATATTAGAACAAACAAATGAGGCTGCCAAGCACTTGCATTTTTCAGCCTGATCTGACATCAGGGTCAGGGGCTTCTTTCACTTTTACTGGAGTTACAGAGCACAATGAGTTAGAACCTAAATGCTCTAGAGATTCACATTTCACTATGGACTTCTGCAAACTTTGCACTTTAAACCACATGTGCCCAGCTAAGGTGAGAATTTTTTTCTCAGTGGTCTCTCTATATTGTCTTTTTCAAATCTGCACTTCAGTTTTCTCTCTTTTACCGACCTGAGGAAAAGCAAGGGCTCAGTCTATAATTTCTGGTTAACACAAGCCTCTGAAGTGGCCTTTCCCATTCTAACGCTTATATACTATTATTTCCCCAATGATAAAAAGCTCTAAAATGTAAAATTTTCATAATAGTCAGCTACCAAACTGGAAAGAGAAATCCTGCTCCAAACAACAGCTTGTTTTATACTCTTAATGACACACTGTGCATAATCTCTTCACATAGGATTAAGGAAGGATTAAAGCAAGGGACAACTAGAGGACAAAATACAATAGCTTGACAGAATCTATAATTTGTGTAAATTTAGAGGATCTGAACAAATGCTAAGTAATTTAAGCAAAACTTTTACTATATTAATGGTGCTTTAAGCACTAGTAACAAATTTAAATTGTTTTATTTGTCTTCATTACATTTCAAAATGCAATGAATAGCAGCAGATCAGCTGCATTTCTTCTGTACAAGTGCTACGCGTTACCAGCTATTTCACAGTTGCATGCTAAACAGGCTACTCTCAAATAAATAGAAACTAGGATATATGACTCAGCAAAGACCTTCCACACAGATAAGCAGAACACCCACGACTCAATTTCACCAACTTGTTACAATAATCCTGAAATCACCAAAACTGTTTTGCTGAGGATGGTACTATTCTCAATGATCAAAACTGGCAGTGCTGCACAGTACAGAATGTATGCTGATACAAATTTTAAAAGTAAAAAAAAAAAAAAAAAAAACACTAAACTCAACCACTAAACAACAATCTGTTGCTACATGAACCTTCTTGGTAGTGACTGTATATTACTAAAGCTGACAGTAATCAGATCCCGTGACAGATGGATCCAGTTCTAGAGATTAACCCCAAATCCATTACTCTAATCAAAGACCGGCAGTTATTTAAAAGCCTGACTCTCAGCTGCAAGAAAGAAGCCAATAGCATTGACAGTAAATACTTGTACTTTCAAATAGACTGTCCTAAACAACATTTTTTTAAAAGTCTATTCAAAAGTCTAGTATATTGTTTCATTTGTGTGAATCAGGCCTTTAGGATGGGGCACATCAAAAAGGAAGAATTCAAGTTTGTTCTGAGTATTTTCCCTTTTCTTCCAAACCAGCTTTGGTTTCAAACCAAAATGATTCACAACAACTTTGTCAGGATGTTTCATCCATGCCAGCGAGGCTACCTTTTCCCACCCCCATGAAACCTCTTCCCATGATGCAGTAAGCAGTACAACAAATTTCAGCACAGCAATGGTTTCAGTGCTGCTGCACCTTGAAGTCTCCAGCCTTGCACAGTGCCCAGACGGAACATGAACTACTCATCTTTCAGCATCTACACACCACTGTAAGTTTCAATAAATCACAGAGTCACACGATTGTTAAGGTTGGAAGGGACCTCTGCAGATCATCTAGTCCAACAGCCCCACCAAGGCAGGATCACCTAGAGCAGGTTACAAAGGAGCATGTCCAGGTGGGTTTGGAATATCTCCAGAGAGGGAGCCTCCACGACTTCCATTGGCAGCCTGTTCCAGTGCTCTGCCACCCTGAATGTAAAGAAGTTCTGCCTCATGTTGAGGTGAAACTTCCTGTGCTTTAGTTTATGGCCATTGCTCCTCATCCTCTCACTGGGCACCACCAAAAAGTCTGGCACCATCCTCTCAGCACCTGCCTTTGAGATATTTATATGCATTAATGAGATCCCCCTCTCAGTCTTGAGAATGGAAACAAATGCCTTTTTCCACTTCAGTTTCACCTGGTGACGTTCAGTGACCTCCCAAGAGAGCATTTACACACGCTCACAGCAGAAAGGGGAGCACAGCACTCCCTGCACTCACTCCGACCATGCAACTCAGCACCACCCGGCCTGCAAGTTTCACCCCGCTTCTCCCAAAGAAAAATTCACCTCCTTTCATTAACCCCTGGGCATTTCAGGCCATCAAAAGGCCCGGACCTGACCTACTGAAGCCAAACCAGGCGGGATCCCTGCCTCTGCAGGCTCCACACCCAAGCAGCGCCGTCTGTCCCAGCCCCAGCACTACAGCGGGGCAGCTCCCTATACACGCGAGTTAAGCCCACCAGCGAGCCGGCCCGCCCCGAACCAGCCTGGGGACCGGGAGCAGCCGTCCTCCTCTCCAGGGGATGGATGACAACCCCCCCGAGGCTGTTCCCTCTCCAGCCTAACCCGGCACCTCCTTCACCCTGGGGAGGACCCCCAAGACGTCCCAGCCCCCGACTAACGGAGGAGACCCACCTCTCTCCGACCCTCCCCGCCGCCCACTCACCGCGGCGCTGCGGGCGGTGCCACCGGGCGGTCCCCGCGGAGCCCCCCGGCCCGCCCGCCGCCTCTCCCGGCCGGGCCGCTCTGCCCCGTCGCCGGGGTGACGGCCGGGGCGGGACCCGCCGCCGGCAACGCCCCGCTGGCCGCGGTCACACGGGGAGAGGCAGGCGGGGCGGCGGGGCGGCATCCCAGCCGGAGCGGGGGTACGGGGGGAGGTGGGTGAACCCCGCCACGGGAAAAGCGGGGACGGGCCCCGGCGCTGCGGGGAAGCGAGCGGTGCACAGCGCGATGCGAGCTGAGCGTGACGAGGAGAGCCGCGTCACGGGCTGCCCTGAAGGTGGCACCGTGGTACGCGAGATCGTTTTCAGACCGTCTTTACTGTCGTTACTGTTAATGGTAATGATAAATTATATATTAAATATATAATTGGTGCTCTGGTGAGACCCCACCTGGAGTACTGTACCCAGCTCCGGCGTCCTCAACACATAGACCTGTTGGAGCAAGTCCAGAGGATGAGCCACCAAGATGACTGGAGGGACTGAGCACCTCTCCTATGAGGAAAGCCTAAAAGAATTGGGATTGTTCAGCCTGGAAAAGAGAAGGCTTTGGGGTGACCTAATTGCAGCCTTCCAGTACCTGAAGAGAGCCTACAAGAAAGATGGGGCAAGACGATGTACAAGAGCGTGTAATGAGAGGACAAGGGGGAATGGGTTCAAACTGAAAGAGGGTAGATTTAGATGAGATATTGAGAAAAAAATCTTTACCATGAGCGTGGTAAGGCACTGAAACAGGTGGCCCAGGGAAGCTGTGGATGCCCCATCCCTGGAGGTGTTCAAGGCCAGTTTGGGTGGGGTTCTTCAGCAACCTGATCTAGTGGAAAGTGTCCCTGTCCATGGCGTGGGGGTTAGAACTAGATGATCTTAAAGATCCCTTTCCAACCCAAACCATTCTGTGATTCTATGATTCTCTGAAATAAAGCTGCTAGCTAAGCTGCTGTGTGGTTAGCATTTGTACGTAAATTCCCACCTCTGGTATTCACAGCTGTAATGAAACCTGAGGGATTTTTTTTCCCTCCTAGCATTTATTTTATTACTACTATTGTTATTTATAGTAAGCAATTTATTAAAATGCTAATACAGATACAAGGGAGAAACTTTGAATGCTGTATGTATTCTAAAACCTAAGTATTTCTATTACGAAAATAATAATGAACTTTCTTCACGGTCCTTTGTAACCTGCCCACTCCAGTGTCTGCAGAAGGTATGGTTAATAAAAATTGCATATTTAGTGTCTGAGTCAGAGAGTACTTTTGGCAGGGAAGTCTTGTTTTAAGCTGCAATTCTTTGACAATTCAAACAATTAGTTTGAACTTCCTATGTTTTAATGTTTTTGAGAGTGAGCGGCAAGAAAAGGAGGAGATTATTTCAACACAATAACTACTAGTAGCACCATGGAGGGAAAGACAGAAAATTGTTTTAGAAATTCAGATTCCTATCTGCTTCACAAAGCTGAGCAAAAATGGGAAGCTGTCTTCATTGTATTTTTGTTTTTATTATATTTTTCCCCCTTTCCCTCATTAATGGTGTGGTAACTTTGTGATGGTTTAAGAACTGTTGACAGATTAATTGATTCTACCTCAAGTCAACTGGGTGGAACGTGGGGCTATGGGAATCAGTTTTCTGGAATCCAGAGGATTTGACCACTTGCACATAGTTTGCTGAAATGAAAGTACAGGAAAACAACAGTATATTTTCTGAAACAAAATATGCCTGCTTCCCTTACTGAAATAAAACATCAGAGGTAAAATGAAGTTCAAAGGTGAGACTTGGACATGAGAGAGAAGGTGCCATAACCCACAGGATATCTCAGGCAGAGATTCAGCAGGAGCTGATTGTACGTAGCAAAGCACTGAACCATGGAGTAACCAGTAGAAATGTTTTTGAACACTATTACATGTATACATAACATCTGTGGAAGTACCTCTCCACTGCCAGTGGAAATGATACAACAGCAATGTCCCCGCCCTGCCCTTGTGTCCTTTCCTCATTCTGCAGTTTAGCAATGTCCCATGACTGTTATTCTTTCCTAGTGATGGGGTCCCTCTTCCTCCTCTGGTGCTGCGACCCAATTTCATAGAATCATGGAATGGGCTGGGTTGGAAGGGATCTTAAAGATCATCTAGTTCCAACCTCGCTGCCCTGGGAAGGGGTACCTTTCACGAGATGAAATTGCTCAGAGTCCCACCCAACCTGGCCTTGAACACTTCCAGGGATGGAGCATCCACAGCTTCTCCAGGCAACCCGTTTCAGTGCCTTACCACCCTCCCATTTTCTTCCTAATATTTAATCTAGACCCATCCTCCTTTAGTTCAAAGCCATTTTCCCCTTGTCCTCTCACTACATGACCTTACAGAAAAAAAAAAAAAAATCATAGAATTAACTGGGTAGGAAGAGACCTTCAAGATCATCAAGTCCAACCTTGATCCACTCCCACTGTGATCACTAGATCATGGCACTCAGTGCCACATCCAGCCTCATCTTAAAAACCTCCAGGGACGGTGAATCCATCACCTCTCTGGGCAGGCCATTCCAATGCCTGATAACTCTTTCTGTAAAGAACTTCTTTCTAATATCCAACCTAAACCTCCTCCAGCAGAGCTTAAGCCCATCCCTCTCCAGCTCTCTTGCAGGCCCCCTTTAGGTACTGCAAGGTGCTATAAGGTCCCTCCAGAGCCTTTTCTTCTTCAGGCAGAATAGCTCACCTCTCTCAGCCTGTCTTCTTAAGAGAGATGCTCCAGCCCTCTGATCATCTCTGTGGCCCTGCTCTGGACTTGCTCCAAAAGATCCATGGCTTTCTTATGTCCCCTGAGCTGAATGCAGGACTCCAGATGGGGTCTCACAAGAGCAGAGTAGAGGGACAGAATCACCCCCCTTGACATGCTGGCCATGCTGCTTTTGGTGCAGCCCAAGATACAATTGGCTTTTTGGGCTGCAAGCTCACGCTGGTGGGTCATGCTGAGCTTTTCATCAACAAACTCCCCTCAGTCTTTCTCCTCAGGGTTGCTCTCCATCCATTCTTCTCTAGCCTATGTTTGTCCTTGGGATTGCCCTAACCTGTGTGCCAGACCTTGCACTTCACAGAATCACAGAATATTCTGAGTTGGAAGGGATCCACAAGGACCATCAAGTCCAATTCTTAAATGAATGTCCTATACAGGGATCAAACCCACAAGCTTGATGGTATTGGCACCAACTGACTTGGCCTTATTGAACTTTATGAGGCTCACACAGGCCCACCTTTCAACCCTGTCCATGTCCCTCTGGATGACATCCTTTCCCTCCAGCATGTTGACTTCACCACACAGCTAGGTGTTGTTGGCAAACTCACTGAGGGTGCACTTGATCCCACTGTCCAAGCCACTGACAAAAATGACAATGTTTTTGGTTACTTGTTCAGCACTTCTAGTCTAATTACAGCCACTTTTAAGAGATCTCGCACAAGCAAGGAATCTGATGTTTAAATATTTTCTGAATTAGTTTTGCACAGATGAAACACTTTAAATTCTGTTACTGGGACCTTGTGTCTGTCAGTTGTTGGTACTTTTTGTAATGCTCCCCAACATTTCACATGCAGGAAGAGAGAACAGCTATAGACAGAACTTGCCAGTGTTTAAGCCAGACTGACACATGGTGTGGAGTTGCAGGACAAGCACTGCAAGCCAGTCACTTAACACTTCATTTTGTCATGAAGACAGGAGAGAGGTACTGTTCTGTGCTTTTGCTATGAACCAGGAAACTGAAGGAAAGACAACAGGCTGGAACAAAGAGACCCAGGAACCACAGCAGTATTTGTGAGCCCTGCTAAAGGACCTCTGAGAACATCCTCATGCACCTGCTTCCCTGCTTGTTTAACAAAACAACAGAAGCAGACTCATTGCTAATTTTCTGTTGAAAGAACCATCTTTGGTTGTGGTCCTTAAAGGTGCTGATGCTTTGCTCAAATGCCAGCCAAAATAGCTGATACTGGCTTTTCCCAAGCACCATCACAAATGCCAGCATGCACGTTGAAGCCGATAGAGATTGTGTAAACTTCATTTTTCTGCTTGTTTGAATGAGTTTGAGCCAAAGGAGTGATGTTTCTCTGTGGTACTTACCAGCACCTGTATCATCCCACTGATCTTTGTGTTGCATGTGGACTCCTGTGAGCCTATGAAGGTGCTGTGTTGAAATGCACTCTCCATTTTGCACAATCTCAGCTCAGCTCTAGCACTACATAAACAGTACCTCGTTCACTCTCCCTTTGACTGTGAATGACAGGCAGATACTTTATACAGCTAGAACACTGAAGGCAGTAATCCAGCCATCGATAACCACTGTACACCAGTCTCATTATTTCTCAGGGAGAGGCATTTCAACAGGCCTGGACTAACTTTTCACTCTGTGTGTTGGGAGGAACTAGTCCAACGCTAAACGTCTCAGTTCTCCCCTTTTCCTCTGCATGTGACTTCTACTGATATGGGTGGGAATGACATGAACTTTCCTAAATGAATCCCTAGAGCTGCACTGGGCATCCTGCTAAATGATGTCCCTCAGGAAACATGATCTACTTTTGTGAAAGCTGTCTTGGTTGTATAAGACAGCTTCTCCAAAAAAAGGCATTAAGAAAAAAACCTAGAAATCCAGAACAAAGCCCAGAAAATCCCCAGGAACAAAAAAGTCTCAAATCATATTCTACTATGTTGCATTGGTGGTTTCCACCCCTAGAGCTCAGAGGAGTGTCTCTGTCTTTAAAGATGATAGTTTGTACCCCAAAACGAGGAGATAAACTACTTCAAGTGCAATAAGCCCAAAACACCCAAGTTGCTTCATGCCTTGTTCGTACGTAGCATGTAGCATATTTAAAAAGCCCAGAAGTAACTTGCTTTCAGAAGAGGAGCAAGGGCTAAGCAAATTGCTCAGACTCTCACCAGAGGTCTTTGGCATGACTGGATGCAGAGCAAAACAGTGTGTCAGGCTCTGTCTCCTCTCACCAGGAGGAGATGGGACCATGAAAAGATGCCCACACATATCTGCATCTGTCAGACATGTGACACATGCCTGCATTTGGTGGGTACACAGTTATTATCACGCAGCCTCTTATCTCTGGGAGGCATCCATTCCAACACTTGTGCTTTTAAACTTTGTCATTAAGAGGCTACTGTTTTTGGTACAAAGGGCAGCCTCAGCATGCGGAAGCAGGTGGTACTTTACCTCAGTAGGGCCCTTATAACTCATATGAAGCCAGAGCCACAGGAGGCTGAGATTTGAAAGCGCCTTTGCCCCCCACTCCCTCTGTGACTTTGCCATAACAACAGGAATTTGTGAGATGAAGATATCTGCCGCAGCACAGGATGCGGGCTGGCAAGGGGCGCCTCTTGTGTGCTCAAGGTAGGACCAGAAACCTGAAATGTCTCTTGAAAGGGGCAATTAATGGAAGAGAAGGTGCTTACTCAGGGACTGAAGGGAGTGCTTCTTGCTTCAGAATGCTGCTTTGCCTGAGTAACATGCTTTTAAAGTCAATCCTGCAGCTGTGTAAACCTACAAGGAGGCTTTCAATTTCAGCTTTTTTTTTTTTTTTTGTAACAGAAGCTCACATTGCCTTTACGTATTTTGAAGAAAAAACTATTCTACAGCACTACATTTATCCATCTGATCTTCTGCCTGAAAAAGGTAACATACAGATGTCGCATCCCAGACACTTGCCTATGAAAGGGAGCAAAGTGAAGAAAGACTGTGATAACCTTTAGAGTGGTTTTATTTGTTCTAGTGCTACGAGGTAATCACTACCACAGCTTTTTTTTCACTGTGTGTAAAGAGCTGTAATGTTTATTAGAAATAAATCCACACCCTAAAAGTAGCATCTTAACACAAACAGATGCATTTTCTTTACTAGTGTACAAAGTTCTCTTAAAAGGCTGTGTTTAATTGCATAGCATAATGATTTAAGCATACAGCTACAGTGACAAGTTTTATACTAGTAGTATAAACAGCACACAACCCCTACAGGTTGCCTGAATGTTGTAATAGCATGCAATGTTTTAATAACTGTTGCTTGAGTTGTGCTTGACTAACTCCTCTAAAATCCATATAAAATGTAGCAATTTACACCTTTGAAATTTTCCTCGATTTTCACCAAGAATTTTTCCTTCCAGATTTTTTAGTAATTTTCCTTTGCATTATTCTGCTCTTATGCTTTTTTCTCTTTAGACTTATAAGGCTGTAAATCTTGATTTTTATTCTACATGTCACTTGCCTCTCAGTTCTGTAAGTGTGTTATGTAATCCTAAGTTCTAGAAGTCTCATCAATCTTTCTGGGTAGAAAACTCCCCCCCTCCCCCTATTTTTTTAATTATCATTATTATTTTTTAAGGTTAGTATAGGGGCTAATTATCAAACTGATGTTATTCAGCTCAATCTGTTTTAATCAGCAATTTAAAACACCAGGTAGAAGAATTACCATAAGAGTTTAACACAAGCCAAGTGAAATACACAGCAAATACATTAAAAGAGAAGGCAAACCTGCTGGACATGGATTAATTTAGTCTTTTTCTGAATTCCATCTTCATGTGGCTTGAATTTTTAAACTGCTGAACAATCCACTGCTGAAACAGGATGCTATTAACTAAATTCCTGCAAGGTTCAGTTTAACATGTTAGACTGAACGCATTGCTTTCACAAAATTGCAAAAAGAAAGAAAATATTCTACATCAGAAATAATTATTTTAAAGACTCCGTTATTTGTACACTGTGCATTGCAAGTAAAGTTTATCAGCTTAATGATGGCTTCAATACACAGAACCTTATGATTTTAACTAGCCAGGTGCTCACATTCGTTTACATGGTGCTTTGTTTTTAACCATGATTTCACGTTTATTGAAAGAATACAGTAGCTTGCTGTTACTCAAAACATAGCAAAAATATACATCAAACATTTAAAAAAAAAAAAAAAAACACAAAAACAAACAAACAAAAAAAACCCCAAAACTGAGTCTCCAAGAAGTTAAAGATACCTGGTAACTTAATAGTAATGATACCAAGAGGAAATATTTTGACCCTGACCAATCCCATGTCTACTTAGCTCCCTTGCTTGGCACACACAGTTTGGGTGCAGGTTCTATTCCCCAGCACTAGTCAGCTTTCAAAATATCTAGCTTTTAAACCAGCAGTGCTCCTCTGTTTTTTTCTTCTTCATGGATTAATGAAGAATTAGTTCACTCAGCTAAGAATTTGGGGAGGCATTTCCTTAATTTTTTTTTGTTTAGTTTGGAGTGTCTGGAGATTTTGTTTTCTGACCTCTGTTTGCTGGTTGCTTCATTTCCAGAGCAGTGCTGTCATGGGGAGCTATGACTGCAGATAATAAAAGTGACTAGAAGTCCCTTGGAGGACGAAGAAAGACCTAATAGAGATGGAGTGCAAAAAAGGGTGCTAAGGGAAGGTACATTCAACACTGACCTGCTCTACTAGGCAGGTAGGACGTTGCATTTTTAGACAGGATGGAGTTGTATTCACAGATAAAGTGAATTCTGCAGCAATATCCATGCAGTATTGGTCTGACCAATTTGCCAAACCCCTTTAAACAAAAAGCACTTTCACTGCAAATGGTTTTCAGGACCATGTATGTTAACCCTGACACCTGTGTGATGCTGAGGTGCTTGGTGAGAGTTATCTGAGCCTTCTTGCCTCCAGGTTGAGGGGATCAGTTCTTGGTGTGGCTGTGCTGGGCTGTCCTCTTTGCATAGGAAGACTGGACAGCCTGTACTCTTGATACAGGGGATCAAAAAGCAGCATGAAGTCAGCATGTTTCATTTCTCAGGTTTCAGTTTTTCAGTTTCTCATTTCAGAGAAACTTCTCTGGTCTTTCCATTCACCAAAAGGATCATAGCAGATAAATGGCCCATTTAGGTGAAATATTCTGCGAATTGTCTTGCTTTCATTTCTTTTATTTTTCTTTTCCTGCCATTTCTTTCAGTTGACTATAATCTATAGCCACCTTCCTTCACCTTTTTTCCGTTCCCTGATTAGCATTTCTTTCTTATAGATGGACTGTTTTCTTTCAAACCTTGAGGAATCTGGCAGGAGTTGTAGCTATGGGCAGATTACACTTGCTGTCAAATGAGGCTGTTGTCTTCCAGAGGGGCTGCACTTCCACTCCAATTGCCTTCTCCCAGTTGTGTTTGGGGCTCATCTCCTTGTGCCGTCTTAGAGATTGTGTGGGGCTGGTTTGGAATTGCACGCAAAATATACTTTAACTCAGCACAGCTCCAGAAAGGCGCTTTTGGGGAAAAATGCTGTTGTGATGTACTGATTCCTGACCTCTCCTCAAATCCCAAACCACTGGGCTTAGCATCTACATGGTCAGCCCAGTAATATATTTTTCCACCTGCATGTATTTGCCACTTAGGCAACACCTAGTCAATATTCAGCACTCTCAAACCTTAAGGTCTGACCTTCGTGCTCAGCATAGCCGTTGCCCAGGAGGAACCCATACCGATAGCTCTCCATGCTCTCAGCTGGTTTGGGCTTCATGGGGATGGAGTCATGCTGGTAGAGCAGCGCTGACTTTACCATCCCAAAGTCTTCCTGAATCTTCATCCCCGAATAGACAGCACCAGAGACGTTTTCTGCCACGTGGGTGTAGCTCTGGAGGTTCTTCACGTCGCAGAGGTTGTCACTGTATTTCAGTGCAGGAGGCTTGTACGCCTGGTAGGACACCTTGGTGGTGGTGGTGATGACCGTCTGCAACGGCGGGGCTATGGGAGCGGGGCTGGGACTGTACCTGCAGGGATAGTCCCCACTGCAGTAAGCGTGGTTAGCGCTTGTTTGCATCTGTCCGTAGTCACCCTGGTCTCCGCTGCCAGTTTTCCCCCAGGCTGGTTTCAGTCCGTAATGTCTGCCAGGGTTATCAAAGCTCTTATCGTGGGTAGTCACAGTGCTGTAGTGAGACCCGCTCAGACTGAGGGGGTCTGCGTCAGTGGCAGGGCTGGTCAGATCTTTGTATAACATTGGGTAAGGGCTGGAGCTTATAAAGGTAGGAACTCCAAACTCGTAGCTGCATGGCCTGGGCATGTAGATCCTTGGATTTGGGCACTTAGGGTATGACGATAGCTGGTCCTCTTGGAAGCTGGCTGAGTCATAAGGTGCTTTGTAGAGGTCTGTGTTCTGCAGTGAAGGATAAGACTGGTCTGGAATTGAAAAATTGGTGTCTGTGATTATACCAGCTCTTTCTTGGCCATCCATGCAGGGAAAATTCTGTAGGTTATTGGTGTAACCACTGCTGTCATGGTACCTTCCTGCCTGACAAGGAAAAGTAGATACTTGAGATTAAGGAATCAATACTGCCCACACACATATTTAGCTCAATACTTGTGCTGTTGCTCATTTCTGCCCAGAATTAACAGATGTAGCATGGTGCAAATCTTATTTTGCCCAGGGATCACCAGTACATACTTATGACACCTTTCTAATTTAGAAAATAAAAAAAAAATGACAAAACCACAAACAAACAAAAAAACAAAAACAAACAAACAAAACCCCAAACCACCACCTTCATTTGTGTCACCTTTATAATTGACTAATGACTTTGACTTACCTCTGAGTTTAGAGGTCTCTTTTTCTGGGAATGATGATAGGAGGAAGTGTGCTTCTTTATTGCGCTTCGTCTCGCCTCTGCCTCTAATTTACTCTCTGGCCTGGGGTGGTCATGGACACCTTTAGCCTATTTAGGATTAACAAAGAATTAGATGTGAATGGGAGGGAGGTGAGACAAGAGAAAGTGCAGTAAGTAATATAAGAGATAGTCACAGCATGGTCTGTGGTTCAGCACAGAAGAAGAGGGAGGGAAAACTAAACAATAAGGAGGGATTCAATGTAAAAATAAATGAATAGAATGAATCATGATTTGAGGGTAGATAGAAGGAAAAAAGTGAGGGAGAAGTCAATGAGGACTGCAGAGCTGATGGAGGAGTGAAAGTATTACCTATGTTGTGACATTTAGGAGTAATTAATTAGAACCAAGGGGAAAAACATATTCATTCAGTTTTATTGTTTTTCTGCAGTCCAGTATCTCAGTTCTGCTTTATAAACGTGTATGTATATAAATATTATATACATAGGCTTTAAAGAGGTTTCATGCCACAAAATGACAAATATTCTCTTAAAACAATACACCTTCTTGAATAGGACTGAAAATTATATGCTGGAAAACCATCCAAAGATGCTCTGCTATTTAAACACCCGTGGATATGCAGATCTGTGTAACCAAAACTATACTGGTATCTGATGAAGATTCTACATGTCCTTACCCATTACATTTGTCTGAATACACCAACACATGGTCCCTAATACAAAACAGGAAGCTTAAAATTAGTTTTAAAACACTGTCCTTTCTCAAGCAAAAATTAAATTCTAAGCAAGGATTTATCAACTATTTTGATGGTAAAAGTCTTCTTGTTTTGCATGTCTATAACAGAACATCAGAGTAAGAATAATACTGGTGGGAATTTGGGAATATGGCCAATTTTCTTCCATTTACTGATTGAAGAACAGAATTCACTGTCTGTGGGTCAGGGAAAAAATTCATTTGGCAGAGAATATAATCTCATGGAACAGAAACTTCATTACATTTTTGTTCTAATGTT